TCTCAATTCTTCTGCTCCCCTCGACTTACGGCCTGAGCTGCGCGCCCCCTCTACAGGCAAGGCTCGACACTAAGCAGAGCCGGAGATGTCGGCTCTGCCTTGTCCTGGCCGCTGCCTCGCACTCGCCTCGCGCTGAGAGGGACCTCCAATCTCAATCTCGTCACCATGCCCGACGGCTTCAGCAACATCCGCGTCTTCGTCCACTGGCGCGACCAGACCGTCTTCGCGGGCGAGGCGGTCCAATGCACCGTCACCTTCCGAAACATCGCCCCCGAGGCCAGCCAATCGCCGGCACAGGCAAACGGCCAGCAGCAGTCGCCGTCCGAGAGACAGAGGCTCGCCTCGCCGCTGCAGCCTCGCGGCAAGGCGGCTGCGGCGTCGTCTCGAGGCCACAGGCGGGCGGCTCTGTCGTTGAGCGTGCCGTCGCCCAGCTCGAGGAGTCGGCAGGGCTCGATTCAATGGCCTCAGCCCGTCGTTCCCGGCGAGGGCCGGCCTGGCCACGCCCACAAGCGATCCGTGTCTATAGTGTCCATCGGATCAACCACTAGCACCATTGAGGAGCATTCGCATTCGCCGCGAGTAGACCACTCTCCACGGACGCCAAGACGCTCTCATAATCGCGCAAGCAGCCTGCAAATCGCTCGGGGACCGCCTGCAACTCCCTCAACACCTCAATCAGGTATGTAAATCCGCTCGTATTACTTACATGCGGAAGAGAGAATCAATTCGGCTAAGTGGCGCTTCAAGGCTCCTTCTCCCAAACTCAAAGAGGAGTATCCTCTCCGCTCTTCAATGCTTCATATCCTCCCGATAGATTTGGTCGACTTCCTACTGGTCCAAAGAGTCCCCAATCGTCAAATGTATCTGTGCAGCGCAGGTCATCCAAGATCTTGTCGAACCCCATGCCCATGCCCGAATTTCGATTCCCCGCTGCACCCCCACCAGAATCAGAAACGGCTCCGAGTCTGCGAAAGGCATCAGGAAATGGTCTCCTAAGCCCAAGAACGGGACCAGTCGATGGCCCTATCCCTATGCGTACAAAAGAACAGTCGCCCGTGACTGATAAACCACTCCTTCCCACGGCTCGCATACTCTCCAGCACAAGCATGGGTGGAGGAACACCGCGGAGCAGTGGTGAATTCTACTCTATGAGCAATAACTCATCCGAGACATTGGCATCGGAATACGTCGGGCAGCCTCTGCTCAGAGGCCCCGGTAGACCATCGAATCCCCGCCGAGGGTCCTCTTTCTCAATACCCCAGTCAAAGACCGAGTCATTAATGATGGGCTTTGCACAAATTCAAGGCTCTTTCTCTCTGGACGGTTCTTTGATCAGTCTTGCACCTTTTGAACAGGTCAAGAAAAAGGCTGTTGTTGGCGGGAGAGGAGGCGGAGTGGTTGGACTGGAATCTGGCCGACGAGAGAATGGCCTTTTGCGGGGGTTTGGCTGGGGTAGCATTAGCAACTCTCTCGGCGATTTCCTCGGAGGCGGAGAGCTAAGCACGATCAAAGAGATGCGTGGTGTCGTAAACTCCAAGGCCGTTCCATTACTGAGCACTCCGCAGTCGATTCTCTTTGTCGACCTGCAACTGGCTCCTGGGGAGAGCCGCTCGTTCGAGTATACGTTCAAACTCCCCAAAGGGCTGCCACCTTCACATAAAGGAAAGGCTATCAAGATTTCATACAGTCTAGTAATCGGCACTCAGCGACCAGGAGGTGCCAGAGAACAGCATGTTCGGACAGTTGAGGTCCCGTTCCGTGTTCTAGGGAGCGTCAACAATTATGGTGAAATTCTTGGGCACGACCTAATGAACCCATACATCTTACTGCGCGATGAAGCTCTTGTCAAAATGGTTGGGAAGCAGCAGAAAGTTCATAGACAACGAGAACAGCCTGGGCCGACTGCCGCAATGAGCGACTTTTTATCATATGTGGACGATCTGCTTGACCGACCGGCAGATAAAGCAGGAGCGTCGTTATTATCCCCGACGGCGACTCCAGATCTAAGGCGGATATCAACGTCTAGCTTTGACGATGCCACCCCAGCCAAGGAGGCAATCCGTCTTGCTATCATGAAAAGCAATATGTCAAACGGGCAGCAGAGCGCTAATCGATTTGAGATTGCGCGAAACGGTCAAAGAGTCGGCGTGGTCATGCTTACCCGGCCTGCTTATCGTTTAGGAGAGGTCGTGACCATGGTTATCGACTTTGCAGACGCAGATGTACCTTGCTATGCGGTTCATGCAACACTAGAAACGTCGGAAAAGATAGATTCGACGCTGGCCGTACGATCCGAGTCCAGCGTTCACAGAGTCACACGGAAAGTGCACGTTGCCACCTCGGAATCTACGCTATTCACTCGGCGGGTGGTATTTACTCCTACGATACCCATCTCCGCCACTCCCGAATTTGTCACTAGCGGGATCAGTTTTGAATGGAAGATCCGCGTAGAGTTTGTAGTGCCGTCGCAGGGACACGATGCCCTGAGAGGACAGCAGACGCCGTTTCCTTTACTCGAGCAGATTTCGAGGGATGACAAGGGAGGCCTAGTTCTCGTGGCAGTTGAGAACTTAGCGTGCGAGAGCTTTGACGTGCCTGTGCCTCTGCGAGTGTATGGGGCTGTCGGGACTGGGCTGGAGCGTCTGGAACGAGATGAGGCGTCTGAGGAAGGGCTTGTGGTGTGAAGAAGAGGGGGGGGAATTGAGGTGGTGTAAGTAGTGATAGTTTATGAGTGTTCGTTTTCAGTGTGAGCCTCTTGGAAGAATTGTAAAATATTGAACAATTGGAATACAATGAGAGACTTGTGTGCCGTACTGAGTACATATATCCTTTGGGGAAGAGCCGGTCGCTGCTGTATGTCAGGAGGTAAATTATCATTACTGGTGTAGAGTGACCAGGATATCTAATCCCCGGCATTGGTTTTCTTTCTTTTTGATGTCGTCTTGAATAGATGCAGGCAATACGGAGATCTGTGGTGTATGCTATATCCAAGTGCCATTCCCAGAAAAGAGATAAATTAATATTCGTATAGCATCTAGGCGAGAGACGTGATGAGATTTGGTGGGCACGGGCGATCTAAGAGTAATAAAGGGGGACAGGGGTTGATGTAACTCGTACCTGTGTATCCTCGTACTGCTTTCAACACTGAGAAACGATGTCATGATAGTTTATTTTCCGTCATAGTATAGAGTATTAGTATAGACTATTGCCGAATGAAGGCGTGATATATGTGCTCCAAGTAGAAAATCTATGCCAGCCATTGGTTCTGGCACGAGTAGACTACGAGATCTAATAGATATAAGATAGGCTGAGCATTATGGAGTGCGGATATAGATATCGACAGATACGAATAATCTCTCTCGTCAAAGACCAGATAGAGCTCCGCAGTGTAGATATAAAAAGCACCAACACTGCTGGTGGATGCAGGGATCTGTCGTCATTTTACCGTTCTCCTAGGGACCCAGGTCTGTTTTCTCCTCAGGTCTCTTGTCTTGATCCGGCAAACCCCGGGCCCTGTCTGAGATCCATCACGGCTGCGTGTATTGTAAATAGATAGCTGGGGGAAGGCAGCACAAACGACATTGGCCGCGACGAGAGTGGGAACCGGGGGAGGTGATGATGGCATCCAAGGAGATTAGCCTGTTACAAGGCTGTGTGATGGTAGTTGGTGATGTCCCAAGTGATGTTGTCATACCGCATCTGTACATGTATATGTAGAAGTAGTATTGAATGCAATTATATTGGCTCAAGGCTAGATCTTAATGGTCGGTAGTGCCACCGTCTCTTTTGATTGCACTTGCCCGCCGTCCGGAGCTATCTCTGCCTTCATTTAACATTCCATCACCACGTCTCTGGCATTGACATTGCCATCGTCCCAAGACGGCATCAAAACAAAGCCTAGCGCCTCGCCCAGCTCCTTTTTCGGTGTCCCAGCAACAGGGGTCTGAGCTGGCCCCTGCTGGTCGCCATTTTGATGTCTCGGGTGACGGCCTGCAATAGGGCAGCCTCTTGGCCAGCCGCTCCACTTCGGAGCTTGAGCGCTTTAGCGACTGTGTTCCAGCGCTTCCAGCACTCCAGCAACCATTGAACTGGCAGCTCCCAATGCTCTCCTGACCTGGAGCTGTGCTTAGAGGACCCCTTGCAGCGTATAAGCGGAACCCCACAGCGCCCCGGGAACCACAGCCGCTAAATGGGCAGCTCCATAGCTCTTGGTAGCGTTGATTTGTAGCGCTGGAGCCGCTGTGGTGACCGTCGGCCGAGCTGCATCATTCCATTTTTTTTTTCTTTTCCACTTTGTGGCTGCAGTGGTGCCTAGCAAGAGGCCTTCTTGCTTGGAGACTACCGTAACAAAGCACGAGGAGAAAAAAAAAGTCCAAGTCCAGCTACGGAGAGGCTGGCTTTAACGTGCGGCGTTCTTTGTTACTTCTGCAACTCGCGTGGGAACAACGCCAACAGCACAGCCGCCAAAGCCGTCCAACCGTCCGTTCTCGCGATGCTTCACTAGAGCTTCTTTCATCTTTCTTCCATCTTTCTTTCATCTTCTCTTCATTGTCGCTGTGAGTCCCGAACCCTAGCCGCCGCACGCCGCCCCGCCTGATCCATCATGCGTTGACACCAGTGGATTGATAGCTTTTTCACCACCTCGTTCAAACCGCTATCACTGGCCCCTCTGGACAGAGCTTGAACCGCAACATACAGCTAACCGCACGTCATTCCTTTTTTGCCCTACCCGATCTGCCAATTCTCTTTGCCCAACGGCACCAAGGCGTCGTCGGGCTAATAAGACTTTTCACTTGCTGTTTTTCTTTTCTCTTTTGTCTCTTGTCCCTTACTCGCTCTGTTCTTCCTTCTGTCACTGCTTTTTGAGTCGTTGATATCAGCTCAATGATATCCTGACCATCTCTTCTGCCGCCATCTGCCGTACTAAACCTTCTTCTTCTTCTTCTTATCTCATTCTACTGCAAACAATCCTCCGTCCTGCTCGAGTCCATGGCGGCGAGATGACGGCGCCTCCCTCCAGCAACCGGCTGAAGCTTACTCCCTCCAATTCACCTTTTCTCACCTCGCGACGGGCGAGATCCCCGCTGCGCGGCCGACCTGTTTTCGAATCCCGCCTTTCGCTCAAAAGAGTCGTCGGAACAACATGTCGTTCGCCAACCGCCTTTGATGCCGTCGGCGACTGCTTCGCCTACACCGCTGGCGGTGCCGTCGTCGTAGTGACTGTCGACGGCCATCAGTATACCCAACGATTCTACCGAGCGCGGCCGAGTGTGGTTTCCCTCTACTCCGCCTCCCAGCATGCGCCTTCTACACCGACGACATCGACAGCGCCGAAAGCAAACGATAGCCGCAATCGAGCTACCGGCCAACGGGACTCTCACAGTGGCTCAGATTGGTCCGACGGGCCGGCTCCTAGGACATGGACCAGTCGTGAGCGCATCAAGGCGGCCACCTGCTTGGGTCTAAGTCCAGATGGCAAGTACTTGGCCGTCGGTGAGACCGGATATGCGCCTCGAGTTTTGATTTTTAACCTTCAAGAGACATCGTCTGATGTTCCCTTGGTCTCAATTAATGAGCATACCTTTGGCGTCAATGCCGTTGCGTGGTCTCCAGATTCCAAATATCTTGCCTCACTCGGCGCTGCCAACGATGGCTATCTGTATGTCTGGAAAGTCGATTCTCGCACCGGCCATACAAAACTCTTCCAGCAAAACAGGTGCACATCCTATGTGAAGGACATGGTATGGCTGGGGAACTCTCTCATTACTCTTGGCGTTCGTCATATCAAGATGTGGAAGATTGATGAGAATGCTGGGGTTTCTCCCACCAAGCCCAAATTTGGGCTGGATCACCCTCCCTTGTCGCCAAATTCTCAAAGAACTTTGCCTGGTCGAAATATTATTCTGGGAGGGCTTCTGGAGGCCACGTTCAACTGCGCTGCTGCCGACGGGGATAGACTGGTCATCTGCACAGATACAGGCGAGGTCTGCATTTTAGAGGGTGACGACAAGCAGACCAAAATAATCAGTATCCTGAGTCTGGACTTCTTTATATCGACAATTGAAATTCGAGGCGACGTTGCGTATGTTGGGGGCAGAGACGGCAACTTTGCCAAAATTGATGTCACCAGGTTGATGGACGGAAGCAAGGACTGTGTTATTGGTACCTCGCAGAACTCGACGGGATTGGCTGCTTTGGGCTTTACTACGAACAACTCCGTCACCGTTGACGCAAAAGGATCAATTGACGTCTGGGACTTGGATTACATACCCGGTCAAGCGGATAGCCCACCATATCACATTCACATTCCAGGCCAAGGAGAGCCTGTCGCTGGCGTCTACCCCATGCATAGGCCAAACGAAATGCAAGCGGCGTTCTTGACGTGGTCGAATTCGGGCATGGTAACCTTCTGGGATTTGGATGGCCAGATGAAAAAGTCGATCGGTATTCCACTGGATATTTTGAGCGCGCCAGACACCAATGTAGAGTCTGTAAACCAGTTGGCTTGTGTCAAGATCTCAAAAAGCGGACGTCTCTTGGTTACAGCTGATCGGTTGGGAGTATTGAGAGTCACAGATACTTCCACGGAAGAATGCATACTCGATACTAAAGCTCATTCAGCTGATTGTACAGGCATCAGCCTGTATGAAGAGGAGGAGAAATTTCTGATGGCTTGTTGCGGTAGGGACCGCACAGCACAGCTATTCCACCGCACATCTAGCGGAAATATCGAGCATTTTCAAACTATCGAATATGCTGCCAGGGTCGTTCAGGTGCTCATCCTCTCACTTGACAAGATAGTCACTTGTGCATGGGATCGAACGATGCAGATTCACGATTTAGTCACAAAGGAAGGCAGCCCCGATGCAATCGCGGCCATTTCTGCGAGAGTCGTCACTTTGAAAGCATCGCCAACTTCCATGACTGCAAGCTTGGATAACAGGACAATGTTTGTTTCCATGTTGGACCGATCAATCTGTCAGTATGACCTCAGGACGGGGCGGCCAATTAACTGCTTCAAATGTATGGATGAGACTGGGATAGAATCAGCAGTCCTTGAATCCCTCTCTGTCGAACAAGGCTCTCCTAGAGATTCTGACTTTCTCTTGGGCGCATCCAACACTGATAAATCCATACGTCTATACGACGCTATTTCTGGCACATTCTTGGATCGAGAATGGGGGCATACCGAGGCGATCAATGGAGTCTCCTTGGTTGAAGACAGTGATGAGGGCAGAAAGGTTGTGAGCGTCGCGGCTGATGGGACAATCATGATTTGGTCTCTGGATGTGCACGAGCGACTGAGTAGAGAGCCGTCGCCTGCGAGAGATGCCACTTCTAACAGACCAACTCTGCGAAAAGTCTTATCAAAAGCCGAATTAGCAGAATTCCAACGCCCGCGCGAAGTCTCAGGAGGACGACGTTCAATAACACCACCGCCGCCGTCACAATCTCGGACGTTGCGTAAGCGCACTTCTCGACTCAATCTATCTACTACTGCCAGCGCCAAGACGCCTTCTGAGACGCAGCCCGCCAGCCCTAGGAGCGCCAGGGTCATGGACGACACTCCGTCGCGCCGAAAAGGCATGGGGACCAATGCTAACAGCCCCCCACTCAGCCCAAGGTCGCGACTATCTCGCAGACCTTCGCTACCAGTCTTGAACGACCGCATGGCGCGCAAGAAGAATTCGACACCGAATCTACGTGGGACCAGCTCATTGAACGCGGCGACAGAACAGACTTGCCGCACTCTCAGGGCATACAGGAAGAAGTTATCGTCTGCAGAGCCTATCAACCCAGAAGCCCTGACCGAACTAGACCAAGAGCTGCGGTTCACTGCAGCTGCACTAGGCGATCGTGCAATCAGAAGCAGAGCGATGGACGAGACCGTCCTAAGTGGGCTCTTGGACCAATATTCCGAAAGACTTGTCACGTTGTTGGACGAAAAGCTACGCCTCTCTAGTCAGCCGATTGAACGGGACGCAGAGGTGTCGAGCGAAGACCGTCGCGGCAGCACAGACGAAACATCAAGCACTACATCGTAATGATGATACTTTACTTAATATTTATTTTCATTTGTGCTAAGAGAACACCATCATTCTATTTATTATCGAGAGATGGCCAATCACTACATGGACGGAACAAGTCCACAAACGGCGTTTAGGATTTTCATGTATTATCGCGGGTACCTTAAGATAAAGGGCTGGAGGAAAGAGGTGGATTGTGCTTCAGATATGGGGGTTCTGCTTTTATAGCGCTGATATGATACCATGGGGAGAGGCAATTGGAGTTTCTTGGTTGGTAAATCAGATGCATTTTTCTGTCTTATACGGGCTGGTTCGCCATGGCGGTGGTGGCATGAAAATGCTTTTTTTATTTGTATCAACTTTCTCAAAGAGATGCGCGCGTAACAAAGGACTTAATTGAAGCATTTAGCATGCGCATGTTTGTTGGCATGATTTTTCCGAAAAGAAAGAATCAACTATCGCAAAGAACGGAAACAATAATGTCGTAGCTTGCGATACTATTCATGTGGTTAAAAGCGGCTGATGCCATCGTGACATGCCCGTCCACGATCACGTGATGTGGCTGAAATCGAAATTCCGTCCCCAGCGCTTCTCTGCCTATCGAAACTTGCTTCCTTTCCATCTCCAAAATTTCTCAAACGCAACCTTCCGCCCGCAGCCTCGTCGAAGAATCTCTACCTATCACGTGACATCGGAACAAACTCGGTCGCGAACAGGGAAAATAAAAAAACAAGTCGCGGTCGTGTGAGAAGAAGGCAGATCGTAGCGCAATTGGGAACAGGAAAAAGAAGCCAGCCGTGTCGAGGAGCTACTTCTGGTCAGATGAGAAGAGACGCTGAAGCCATTGTCTGAAAGGACCGATATCTGGATCCAAGGCTGCCTGTACGTTTTGGGTCTTCGGATCATTATCATTTCCCTTGTAATGACGTAGATGAATATGTGTTCCTAACTTGTTTTTTCCATCTTCATGGGTGATTATAGATCGTGGCGCCCATTTATCCTGTTGCGAAGGAGCGTGAGGGCCTCCTCGATAGCAGGCGAGGCGGACCTTGGGGCATGAATCAACCGGCCGCCTACACGCCTCTCGAGTCGCTGTTCCTGTTCCAGTCGCTGCTATCCCACGGGGTCGACGGCGGGGCGTTTGCGCGCATCTCTGAGCTTCTGAAGGGAAATGCTCTCATCAAGAGCGGCGACACGTACGATGCTGCGCGTCTGAGCCCGGAGGCTCTGCAGCAGCTGTTCCTGCAGCTGTTGCGAGATGAGATCAACGGCGAAGCGGAGCGTGCCGATGGGGATGGAGCAGCAGCGGGAGGTGGTGGTAGCGATGGTTCACGCAAGAGGAAACTGTCGAGCCCGCCGTTACCGACACTGAAGGAGGTGTACGAAAATGTCGACAAGATTCCGATTCTGGTCGATCGATTATACGCACGATATCGAGATCATACGGTGGGGCTGATTCGCGAGGATGAACGCCGGTTTGCGATGCTACAGAGGGATATCCAGGTGTTGGAACGAAACGAAAAGGAACGGCTTGCTAAAGTGGCGGCCAGCCAGAATTTGACGCCAACACTGGCTCCGCGAGACCCAAGGACGACGGCAGGGACAGCATCGACGACGACGACGCCTGTGGCAGCGGGTGTGCAACCACCAGTGCCGCCTCCAAACGGCGTGAGCCCTTCTCCAGGACAAGCACCAGCAACCCCAGCGGGCATCAGAAAGGGGCCAACCCCGAACACACATGTCCCGCCGCCGAAGCCTCCCATGTCCGGCATTGCAGCACCAAAGGTCGCGCCACCCAGTCAGTTGGTGCCTGGTACGCCGCCCCCTCGAACGTCTGCCTTGCCGAAACCGCCAAATGGAGCTTCTTCTGTGCTTCAAGCGCCTCCTGGGGCTCCCACGCAGTCAACCGCGCAGGTACTGCAACCGCCTGCACAGCAGCCGCCAAAGCAAATCATTTCTCCTCGTCCAGAGACTGCTGTTCCGCAGCCGCAACCCCCGCAGCCACAGACCGCTCCAGGAACAGCAGCTCCTGGTTCGCTCAAGTGGGAGAAGCCTTATCAACCTCCGCAGACAGTGCAGGCTCCATCGGCTGAGCAATTCTCACCACCAATTCCCCCTTCCACGAATAATGGTGCTCTTCCAAAGCCTCCTCAGACACAACAACCACAGCAGCAACAAATATCGCCGACACCACCACCGCCGCAGCAGCAGCCGCAGCCACAGCAGTGGCAACGACAGCCAGTACCACATCCACAACATCCAACTCCTCAGCAAACTCAACAGCCACATACTCAATATCCTCCGCAACCCCCATACGGACAAGCTGCACCCACACCACAACAACAGCAGGTTCGTCCAAGCCCAGCAAAGCCTGTCCTTGTCCACCCTCAGTCTGTAGGACAGCTGGTTGCTCCTCTACAGCCTGGGCCTCCTCGTCCAGTTGGGCCAGGCGCAGTAACGCAAGTTCGCCCGCCATCAACGACGCCCTCAGCTACTCCAGGGCGTCCTATCCAACCTCAGCAACAGCCCCAAGCTCATCTTCAGCAGCAACAGGCACAACAGGGTCAACAGGCAACTCCTCAAACTCAACATATTCAGAGAACACTGCCAGCCCAAACGTCTTTACTCGCCCAGAAATTCCAGTCGAGGGGTCAGAATCAGCGGCCACTTGCTTCCGCAACTACTCCCAAAGGCACACCTTCAGTTTCTGCTGGTGGATCTCCCATCCCCAACAAGGCAGCTCCTGGAGCAATTGCGACGCCACGATGGCAGCCGGGCGCTTCTGCAGCACAGCAGGGGGCTCGAGCCGCGCCTCCTGCTTCTCCTGCGCCTAAAGATAAGACATTTAACTCGACGAATGCCGCCCAAGCGCCGCGCCCTATCCCAGAACATGTGATTCGGCAGGTTGCTGCTACGCCGCCTGTGAGGCGTCCTAGTCCGGCGTCTTCCGTGCCACGGACTCCAGCACCGTCTAGTCCTGTATCCCTTAAACGAGGTTTCGGAACGAAATGGGCCTCTCAGTCGACGCCGTCTACACCCGGTCCTATAACATCGGAGCCAGAGAGCCCGGCGTATGAGCCTGTTAGCCCTCCCATCCCAAGACCTGCAGTCGGGAAGGACTCGGCCAAGGCAGTTCCGAAGTTGGCTGTACCGAAACCGAGTCCGAAAGTCGAAGCAACGCCCCCTGCGAAGGCGCCCCGCGGGCGACCTCCGCGATCGATGCAGAAAGGCCGCGGTGCGAGCGCAACCCCCTCTGCTACGGGCACGAGGAGAAGCCAGTCCGTGGTGTCTCAAACAGATGAGCTCTCCCTAGATCATTCCGTGACTAAAGTGAAGAAGGAAGCTGCTGCCACGCCGCGTCTTCGTGAAGAAACCGGCGATACCACTGCCGATGAAAGCATGCCAGGACGTGGCCTCTTAGGCACACCAAGTAGTATGGCCCGTGCATCCAAGCGGAAGCGGCAAGATACCCCTACTGACTTTCAAGGCCCTCCAACGCACGTTCTATGGACTAGAGGATTCACAAAGGTCTCCTCGTCCGCGCTCGATCAGATATCAAGCCATCGCGATGCAAACATGTTTGCGACGGCTCTGCGAGAGAAAGACGCGCCGAATTACCGACAGATTGTACTGCAACCGCAAGACATTACGTCTATTCGTTCTGCGATTAAAGCAGGGAATAAGGCAGCACTGCAAGCAGCGGCTAGTCTGCCCGGCGGTGATCCTGGTACGGCAAGTGTCTGGCTCCCCATCTCTGACGACCTCGTCCCTCCCAGGGGAATCATCAATAGCGCTCATCTTGAGCGCGAGCTGGTGCACATGTTCTGTAACGCGATCATGTACAACCCAGATCCGGATCGCGGCCCCGGGCCAGCATTCATGAGAAGGTCTCAGAGCGACGAGGAAGAAATCGTTGGGTACCGCCTCGACGAGAATGGGGTTGTCAAGAACACGCAGAGCATGTTCCTAGAGGTCGAAAAGCTGCTCGGGGACCTGCGAGCGGCGGAGAAGGATCGAGGCATTCCGCCGATATCTACGACTCGGCAAGGCAGCGTAGCCACCCCGGCGGAAGACACTGCCGAGGAGGAGGATGAACTTGCCGGCGATGGAGATTCGGCCTCGGCTTCGGGGACGGCCAAGAGGCGGCGCATCAGCACCAGGAGTTAGATACAGCCTGTGCGTATGAAAATGCGTGGCGAGACGACACCTCGTGGGACATCTCGTGGGACGAGATCGCGGGCTCAAAAGGCACGGAGCTCGAAACTATCGAAATAAGGGCTTTCTATTGGTAGGATGGGCGAGGGAGGGAAAGGGAGTTTGGGCGGTTAGCGACGACTTTTTTTCAGCTTGTTGCTTCTTTTATGGAATGCTTAATGAGTTGTGTATAGCGCTGTTTTTTGTTAGAATTAACACTTGTCGGAATAACTTATTACCCAGCTTAATTAGCTTTACTCTGAAGATGAAAGCTTGCATGTCATTCCTCTACTTAATTGTGATGAGAACGTTACACTGGTATAGGGGAGCTGCTATAACTACCTAAGGTACTATTACACAGCTTCGAGTATCCCCAAGGATCTAATTTCAAAACACTTCCAACCTGTCATCGCCATTCTCTGCATCTAGGTTCCTCGGTCTATATCATAGAATGCTTTCCATCATCACCGATCCAATTTTGCGACTCTTATCGACGAAGTTGAACGCTGATTCGGCGCAGCCTTCATCGAATCCTCTGCCGTGTCCTCTGCAGGCGATTTCCGCGGCCAGTCTCTACAGATGTCGATATTCTCCCTCGGGAACCACCACTCGAGCAACAGGAAGAACAAGTAATCCACGACGACGCACAGGCAGAAGAGCTTGCCAGCCCAGATGCCGCAGCCGTAGTAGCGCTTCAGGCGGTCAATCAGCGCAAAGTCGCGGATGCGGCTCCCGGTGTAGCCGGTGGTGTCGAAGCCGTAGAACTCCTCTTCGCTGATGGTGCCGCAGATGCCGTCGTAGACGCGCTCGGTGCGCATGGCGACGTTGGACCACGAGTACATCTTTTTGACTTCGTCGTGGAACTTGTCGGTGCGGATCTTGCCAGCGCGCATGGCGGTGATGGCTTTGCCCGTGGCGGCGACGATGTCGTCTTCTTCGGGCTTTGCGAAAGTGGTCATGTGCGAGGGGAGGACCTCGGGGATGCCGCCGACCTGGGTGCACACGACGTAGAGGCCGCACGAGGCCGCTTCGACTATAACGGTGCCAAAGGCCTCTGTGAGGGAAGGGTGGAGGTAGATGTGGCCGCGGGTCATGACGTCGCGGACGTCCTCGTGGCGGATGGAGCCGAGCATCTCGACGCGGTCTTGTAGTACATTGGTCTCGATCATCTGCTCCAGGTCAATAGCCTTGGGGCCGGAGCCGGCGATGATGAAGCGGGTGTTGGGGTGATTCTCCAGGATGCGCGGGATGGCGGCCGTGAGGAGATCGGTGCCCTTGTTGTAGAAGAGGCGCGAGATAACGACAATGGTGATGACATCGTGGGGGCCGAGGAGACGGGGAGACGACTCGGCCCTGAAGCCTTCTCCTTTCTCGGATTGTGTCGGATAGTCGCGAGGGCGGAAGTTTTCACCGACGACGGCGTTGGGTATGACTGATACCATGAGAGGATCTAGTGAGGCGCGAAGCACCGTGTTTTCCTTGCTACAAAATGGATTAGAAATGAACTGTAAGAAAAGTTTACTGCAGCATCTCACTCACCATGTATGGCTCACACATATGCTGTGATCGACATCGCTCAGAATAAACTTGAGCAGCTTGTTCGTCAAAATGCTCGCAGCATCCGCAAAGCCAAACAGCGAATGATCGGTAAAGACAGTCCTCAGCCCCATCGTCCGCGCATGCAGGATAGCTTCGTGGCAAAGAGAGCTGAGACTGCCATGGCCATGGACGATTTCGATCTGCTCGCGGATGCAGATATTCCGCAGTATGGGGAAGAAGGAGAAGACGGTGGGAAAGGTCGCCGCCCGGTAGATGACGAGGAAGGGCACGTGGTAGACTTTGAGGCCGTTGTTGAGGTAGCGAACGCCTTTGCGGTCGTCGTAGTTGTGGGTGATGATGATGACTTTGTGGCCTCGGTCGATGAGCTTGCTGGAGAGCTGGTAGATGTGCGATTCGACGCCGCCGGGCTGGGGGAAGAAGAAGTCGCTGACCATGGCGATGTTGTATGTTTTGCGCCCCATTTTGAAGGCGTGGTGGGAATTAACAGCTTCGATTTTCTGCTTGTGGCATTGATGTCCTTATCATGGATCTTCGCGATGGTGATACTGAGACTGATGCTGAGCCTGACGATGAGTTAAGTTGGTAAGCCTCTTCTTCATGGCCATCTCATTTTCGCCTGCTGATCACTGCCTTCGTTGCCTATTGGCTCCGCCTCATATCATCTCAACTCATCTCTCTGTGTCTACTCCCAGCGCATCTAATGCTGTTCAAGACTCTTTTGAAGCGCGACAGTTAGCGACCCCTTGCGGGATGTAAATAGCAGTACGTTAGCAGTAGTGGCGTCTTGTTATAGGCTCACTCCCCAAATTGGGCGACGTCTCCAGTGATGACGCTAAGCTCTCCGATAAGCGCGGCGGTGAAGGGCGGCAAAATGCCGATAACAGCTCTGTCGCCAAATTTTTGGACGAGCTATCGCGGGCTACTATCCGCATCGCATTGTATTGGCTTGAAAAGTGACTGCGACGCTGTTGGCATAGCGCATTGGTTTTCTCTTGAATTTTGAGGCCAATTGTTTTCGACATCGTCTTTTGTTCTATTTTCATTTATTTTCTTTCAATAAATAGAATGTATGCAAGATACATCCCTCCGTCTGGAGGCCAGAAACCTCTGCGCAATAACGAGGGTTCTTCGGCTACGAAACAGTCGCCTGCACCATCAGCTGCCACGACTACAAATCCGGACGGACTTTCCTACTCTCGCTATATTCCGGGCGCCAAAACTACACAGCAAGATGCGTTGCCGATAATTCAGCGGTTTGATGATGAGTCGAATTCTACAACGCCGAAGAGAAAACGAGACGAAGAGGAGCAACTGCCCGTATCCGAAAATAAAAAGTCAAAGAAACCAAAGAAAGAGAAACAAAACAGTGACTCAGAAGATATCGAAAGCACCTCCAAGGGACAGAGAGTGAAGCAGTTGAAGAAAGAAGAGAAGAAGAAGAAGAAGGACAACAAGAAAAGAGGTGCATCAGACGATGAAGACGACGAGCCCACCTCCAATGAATCAACATCTCACCAACAAGAAGCCGATGTCGACGGCGAAGACAATAGCGCCTATGACGAAGACGCCGATATGGTAGATGAGGGCCTTGAAGCCGAAAGCGACCCGGAATCCTCTGAGCCCGCTGAGAAGCAGAAGAAGCCGCCCAAAAGAGAGAAGAAGAAGAAATCACAAGACGCTGATACGGAAGAGGCTCAAGAAGAGGAGGAGGATAAGCGACACAAAGCCGTTTTTGAGCGAAAGGCCAAATCTCTCAAGTACTCAGATATGATCAAAGAGCAAGGCATCGTAGAAGAGCCGGAAGAGCCTGCCGAGCTCCACGGCTTAGAGCCTCTCCCACAGCCCGAACCCGCCGCACCAAGCACAGCCAAACCAACGTACGAGACACTCCCGCCGTGGCTTGCAGCGCCAATCCGCGTCTCGCAAGACGCGCGAACACCTTTCGCGGATCTCGGGGTCCTTCCCAAAGCAGCTCGGTTTCTGGAACAGAAAGGCTATACAGAGGCTTTTGCCGTCCAGACAGCGGCCCTGCCGTTATTGCTCCCGACAAATAAACAACAACCGGGCGATCTCCTCGTTTCAGCGGCGACTGGTTCTGGAAAAACTCTGGCCTATGCTTTGCCCATTGTAAGAGATCTGAGTAACAGTGTCGTCACAAGACTGCGCTGCCTTGTTGTCCTGCCCACTCGTGAACTCGTCAAGCAGGCACAGGAAGTATTCGAGCTCTGCGCAAAGGCATACGAGGGAGAGGACAGGAAAAGAGTACGCATTGGCATCGCGATTGGCAACCAGTCCTTGGCTTCGGAACAAGATATTCTCGTGACCAAGGAGACGCGATACGACCCAGAGGCCTATAAGCAGCTCGAAGAAGAGGCATCGTCATCAAAAAGTGCCAGCGAAGAGGACCTAGACGAGCTTCTCACCAGCTCTGACACACGGCGCACCAACCCTCGCATCGGCCCTTGGCAAGGTCAAGTCATTGATTTCCATTCCAAGGTCGACATCCTCATCTGCACGCCCGGCCGCCTCGTCGAGCACATTGACCAAACACCGGGTTTCACGCTCTCCTATATCCGCTGGCTCGTCGTTGACGAGGCCGATAAGCTTCTCGCACAAAGCTTCCAGGGTTGGCTCGACGTTGTTCTGGAGAAATTCAAGGTCAGCCACTACGGCGCCAGAGATTTTCCCGACATGCCTTACTCGGGCGTCCGCAAGATTCTTCTCAGTGCCACTTTGACTAGGGATTTGAGTCTGCTGAATCAGCTCGCGTTGAAGAGGCCGAAGCTGATTGTCCTGGAAAGCGGCAGTGACGTACAAGTTGCAGAGCACTCTTTGCCGGAATTGCTGAGAGAGTACGCCGTGAGAGTGCATGATGCGAATCTCAAGCCGTTGTATCTCCTCGATCTTCTACGGAGCCGACATATGGCTATTGACAATGATGCGACCAAGTTAGACAAGGCTGCTACAGAGAAACAATCAGGCTCGGCTTCAGAGACGAGCTCTGACGGTTCAAGCTCTAGTTCCGACTCTGATTCAGACTCCGACGATTCGGACACTACTTCAGATTCTGACACTAGCTCAGATTCGGATTCAGACTCAGACGCAAATTCAAGTACAAAAGAAAAGAAGCCACATCCTTCGCTACCCAACTCGCAAATACCCAGAGCTCTCATATTTACAAAATCCAACGAAGCCGCGCTGCGATTATCACGACTGCTCACCATCCTCGACAAGTCCCTCGCCACACAAATCAGCACCCTCACATCCACCACACCCACCAGCATCCGCCGCAAGACCCTGCGAGCATTCACTACCCCTTCTTCGCCGCTGCGCCTCATCATCGCATCCGATCTTGTCGCACGTGGTATTGATATCCCCAAGCTGCCACATGTCGTCAACTACGACCTTCCCCCCAGCGTGGCCGGCTATGTTCATCGTGTAGGCCGAACTGCTCGAGCAGGCAGATCTGGATGTGCCTGGACGCTTGTGGGAGACGGAGAGAGCGGTTGGTTCTGGGGCAAGATTGGTAAAGGCGCCGGCGTGAAGAGAGCGCAGAAGGTGGACCGAGTAATGATAGAGGAGATGAACGACGATAGAATAGAAGAGTATGAGAGTGCGCTGGAGAAGCTAGGCAAGGAGGCGCTCGAGTCGCGGAAGAGATAGAGATGCATTTCGGAGACCAGATAGACAAAGACAATACTAATATCATGGAAAGGAAACCCAAGCTTTCAACAAATTTCGCTCCTGGCTGGTAACGCTATACCACATTCTGTGTATATTTTGTGTAGTGGTAGTAGTTCCAATCGTAAAGGAGTAAAATAATAATCCGGGTTAGTTGTCGGATTCCCAGACATTTACCTCTTGACGATTACGAATGGCAGACGGCTCAACTCTGGGCCTGTTTTCCTCATCAGTGTTGTGAGTTAGGCTCTGATATCCTCGCGGACGGGCAGACTCCTCTTGTTGCTCGACGACCTCGTCTACATCTGCGTCTGCGTCTGGAATGCCTGCCAGCAGTGGACGGCTCTCCCGGTGGCTGACTTGCTGCTGTCGGTGCCAGCTGACGGAACGCCATGCAGTCCACCAGTTTGTGCCTTCTCTAGTCATGAGCAAGCCCAGGGCCTGTTTTGGATCGTGAGTATTGTATATGGATATAGTAAGAGAAAGGCGGTAAGAGACAGCTCACCTGCAATACTCCTACTGCAATGACAATCCCAAAGTCTGCTCCTGCACTGCCTCTAAGAGCTGATCTCCAAGGTCCTCTGCAGGCCTGATCGCGGCCAAATATGGCAGCGCAAGTCTTTGGATCGGAAATCGGATAGGCTCTATCCTTGAGACTGTTTAAACCGCAGCAGTTGAGCGTATCCTGAATCAAGCGAATCGCCTCCCCATTTCGGTCGCGCCACAAGCCCAGCCATTGATTGTTCATCAGGCATTCCACCGTATCCGAGGGCACCACTCTTTCAAAGAGCAGCGTTGCGAGGACGGTGGTGAGAAGGCCTTGGAGAGTCTGCAGGACGGTTGGGCTGAGGCGAAGGAACGGGTTTGATGAGGTGCGGGCGGAGTGGAGGAGGCTGGGGTGGATGAAGGAGTTGAGAAAGGAGATGATGGGGAGTAGGGCCGTGAGGATGGTTACGGCGGAGCTGATGGGGAGGGATAGATGAGTGCTGTGGAAATAGAGGACTCTGTTTTGATGGTATCGTGGACGTTGTTAGCAGGGCATCATTGGGCTGGTTTGATGTATAACGTACACTGCGACGCCGAATAGCACGGCGTGGACCTGTTTTGGCATTCATATTAGCGACTGGAAGAGAAGAGAAGAGAAGAGAAGAGAAGAGAACGCAGATGTTTCATACCAGCAGGAACACAAGCCCCAATCCAAGCGCCATGGTTGCTTCGTTTCTTTGTTTATGAAGGCCTGATGCTATACAGTTCACTGGTAGTACATGCAGCAAGGCAGTCGTGAGAGCTTCTCAGTGTAAGCGAGACGAACAAAACAGTTCCAATTATTCAACCAGGAACAGCAGCAAAATATAGGTACGAAGCAAAATGACAAAGACAGAGTGACAATGGCGAGATTCACAGAAAAGCAGCGGCAGAAAAAGAAAAGGTGATTTTTCCCCTCCCTCTTTCTGCGGTTTGTGTCATATCACCGTGGTGGCGCTGCCCGATTGGGCGGCCTGTGCATGTCTCACTACGCGCCCTGCAGCGCCAATGCGGGAGGCCTTCAGGTAACATGTACATGTGCAGGAAAATGGAATGGCAATGGTTACAGTGGACGGTGATCACCAAAGTTCACTGCGCAGGGGATGCATAAATTATGTCCATGTTATGTCCACATTTCCTGTCTCTTTCTTGCTGTCACTTCTCACAAAAAAAATATCATAGGCAGCAAAGGAGGGGGATCTGATGTTTGGCAGCCTTGTTTAACACCTGGGTATGTCAATTCGATGGCGGAAGCTCACGCGTTGATATTTCAAGGATACTGCTCTGCCAGGATACTTGAAATGGCATAGAAAGAGAGGAGGTTTCAAGGCTCGGGACTCGAATATCTTCAAAGAGATTGATTGAGGCTGATGACAAACTTATCTGATGCGTTATTCAAGCGTCATTCAACATGCTTCAATCTGTCCAAATTGAGAGCGACTTCTTACAGTCGTGTCTTTTCTGTCAAGGCTCCAACAGATGTGGCATCCAATGGCAGAGTTGGAGGAAAATAGGTCACCATCTACACATACCTTGGCGCGGCTACATGAAAGAGCGACGGAACATGTCTTTTTTTCCCTCTTTCTCTTCTTTAAAAGTTCAATGCAGGAATAAGCATTTTGTCCTTGTACTCGACGTCTCAAATCCCACGTTACAAGCTATAGACCACCCTTTGAAGAGCACTCGAGAAGGGCTATAAAACCCGACGGCTAAATATCAACTACACTCCATCAAACAAGCCAGCAACAGCGGATGGCACATCTACAACAATAATTACATCACAACTTTTTTTCAAAGAGTAAAGACACAAAAGACAATAATCCAAAATTAAGAGTCATGCAGTTTCATTCATGGCTAGCTACCATCAGACTATTAACATACAAGCAAATGGAAAAAAAGAGATAAGCTACCCAGCAATCTCATCCTATTCGTTACATCTCGTTCCTTTTTTTCTTTAGTTTTACAGTTTATTTTTTTTAGTTGATTGGTGACTTGCCACCTCCAATGCGGATGGTGACAGACTTGTTCTGGAGGTAGGCGTTGAGAGCCTCCTCACCCAGCTCGCGGCCAATACCAGACTGCTTGTAGCCGCCAAAGGGAATCTGGGCGTGGAGGAAGTTGTAGTTGTTGACCCAAACGGTACCGGCGTGGAGCTCGTTGCTGACGCGAATGGCGCGGTCGAGATCCTTGGTGTGGATGGCAGAGGCCAGGCCGTAGGTAGAGTCGTTGCTCATGCGGAGGACATCCTCCTCGTCCTTGAACTTGGCAACGGCAGCGACGGGTCCGAAGATCTCCTCGCGCATAATCTTCATGTCGTGGCCGACATCGCTGAAGATGGTGGGCTTGATGAAGTAACCCTTGTCGCCGTGTCGCTCTCCACCAATCTCAAGCTTGGCACCCTCGGACTTGCCAGCGTCGATGTAACCCATGATGCGGTCGAACTGGACCTGGCTGATCTGAGGTCCCTGGAAGGACTCGGGGTGGGCTGGGTCGCCGACCTTGTTCTCCAAAACGCGCTTCTTGAAGGCGGCAATGAACTTGTCGTAGATGCCCTCCTGGACGTAGATACGGGTACCAGCAGAGCAGGTCTGGGACTGGTTGTAGAACATGCCATAGTTGACCCATGAAACGGCCTGGTCAATATCGGCATCGTCGAAGACAATGTTGGGAGACTTTCCGCCAAGCTCAAGGGTGACCTTCTTCAGGTTGGAAGCGGCAGCAGCCTTCATAATGGCACGGCCAGTAAGGGTTGAGCCGGTGAAAGCGACCTTGTCGATGTCCATGTGGGAAGCCATGGCAGCACCAGCGGTCTTGCCGAATCCGCTGATAATGTTGTAAACTCCGGGGGGGAAGCCAGCCTCGTTGATGAGCTCAGCAACGAGAAGGGCAGTAAGAGGTGTCTGCTCAGAGGACTTCAGGACGACAGCGTTACCAGTGGCCAATGAGGGACCAATCTTCCATGCAAGCATGAGCAGGGGGAAGTTCCAGGGAATGATCTGAGCGCAAACACCGAGCTATACAAAATCAAGAAGACATCAATTAGCTATTTGGATCCCAAGCGTTGGCTGTGTATAGGGCTGTTCACTTACAGGCTCCTGCTTGGTGTAGACCATGTAGTCGCTGTCGATGTCAACAGTCTTGCCGTGAATCTTGTCTGCATAACCACCGTAGTAGCGGATGCATGCGCTGACAAGCTGGAGTTCTCCTGTGGCCAGGGCAATGGGCTTGCCGTTGTTGTAACTCTCAACGGCGGCGAGCTTCTTGGCATCTCGGTCAATCAAGTCGGCAAGCTTCAACAGCATGCGACCACGGTCGACGGTGGCAGTCTTCCTCCATGTTGTGTTGAAAGCCTTGCGAGCAGCGGCAACAGCAACGTCGACGTCCTTCTCGGTGGCTTCGCAGACAGAGGTGATGACCTCCTCCGTGGCGGGGTTGATGACCTCGAACTTCTTCTTGTCAACACCCTCGACGAACTCGCCGTTGATGAACCTTGGAGGCGACAATGTTAGCTGCTGTGAACAGACCAATGGCAGTAGGTAGGTAGTAGTGAATACGCAGCAAGTAGCGTAGATACCTAGGTAAGGTAGGTAGGCAGAGGCGCGATGGTGGCGATAGAACTTACAGGCCAATTGGCTGGGTGTACTTCCCGTAGGTGGGGGCGTCGAGCTCAACTGTCAAAGCCATTGTGATGGATAGGTTGTGGTATATGGATAAGGAAGAGGGAAGAAAAGAAAGATCAAAGCCAAATGTGAGGGGCAAGAGGGGTATTTATGAATGACGAAAGGATACACCAGCTCGATACTGTATGCAGGAGATGGAGAAAGAGGAAGGAACCGAGTCGGGACAACCAGACCCTTTTATTTGCAACACCGCGGCGGGTGTTTTCTCTTCCAAGGTTCCCATTATTAAGGAGCCCTTCTCTGGATCCGTATTTGCCTCCATCTCGGACGCAGAGCGGGGGCGAATGCTTCAACGAGCTCTAGACGGGCAGTGATGCTCCGTACCCCATCCATATCTCCATTGCGCATACAAAAGTATGGAGACCGCATGGATGCGGCCCTCACAAGCGGCTACAAGGGTGCGCAAGTCCTGAAGACCCCCATCCCCTCGTCCTCAGCGCCCACAGCAAGGCAGCGGTACTTTGGGGCCCCGAAAGCATGCCAGAACGGCGTGTACCGCTACCTGATCGGGTGGCCGCAGCTACATTCATGCAGTGCAGTACAGGGTTCATGTGTAGTGCCCAGCCCGGCCGCGACGCCGCCGCCTCTTCTCTCGGCTCTCCGCCAACCTTGATGCCGTGTGCCATGCCTCTGTAGCGACGATATCCGAGCCACAGCGCCAGCGAGCGGTACTTTGCAACTGCATGTGTGCAGCGCACGTCCATACAGTACCTAACCTGCTCTCGTACAGACACACTGACTAGTGCGTTGTGCTGCTTCAAGCCTAGAGCCGTCCATCTTGTTGCAGGAGATCCGCTGCGGACCCCCGGGCTGCCGGGATGGGGCCAAGCTCGAGTTCATCAGGGGAGGCGATTTGTGCGCAAGGCCGGCAGCGCATCTCCTAGGCCACGCTTCCAAGCTCCTTGGCTCCGAATCAGTGCTGCTCCTTGTTCCCCACAACGTTCGCCGTCCCATGCCTTCTTTGCTCCTCCAACGCGGCGCTTGTTTTGTAGAGGGGTGGCTGGAGGCGAACCGAGCGGTGCTAGGCGGCGGTGGGAGTAGTCGCTCCCTTATTCTCGACGGGAAATGCCCCAGAAAGGGCTCCAGGCGCACCACCGAGCCCGAAGCAGAGCGGCTCTGGGGTTGTTGAGCAGCTTCCCCGCAGCAGTCGGTGGCTAACGAATGGTGGCTAACGAATGGTGGCATTCCTGAGGCACGCCTTGGCCAAGCAAATGCGTGTACAGTATAGTGCTCCGTGTATTCTCCGTATAAGGGCGATCAGACGAGGAACCATGCAGGTGTCCTGCGGGTGTCCATTCTTGCTGGAAAATTGCTCCTGTATCTTGCTGCCGTGTGCTTGTTCTGAGCAAGTTCGTGCATCATTATACATGGTATTTCCTCTATCGGGGCAGCCCTATGAGGTGTCTATTTCCTTGCCTTCTCCGCACTCGCAATCTTGCACCAGTTCTCTGCCCGCTTTGTCAACAAGTTTTGCCAGCTCCATTTTTCCTTTTACCTTTGAGGGTAGTAGTCCAAGTGCATACTGTACAGAGAAGCGCTGTTAGTTCACACCACCATGCTGGCTGCTGTAAAGAGCGAGTGATCGCCTTGTTTCTTCAGCGCATTGACTTGATAATGGGCCCCCATGCCCCGGCTCAGCGGGTGCGAGGGTATGTAAATCGCATCTATCTAGCACCGGCATAAGGATTAGCCTAGCCACTGTACGTGTAATCCAAGTCAATCCCTTGCACCGAGTTGGCTGGCATCATCAATCTGTTCCTACTGGAAGTACACATTCAATGCCAAGTGTGTCCTCGTGGCCTCGTGGATGCACCCATTGTGCTAGCCAGGGCGATTTGCTGAGGATACGTTTGTCCCGGTTTGAGAATGTTCCCGGCATATCCCGTCCACACATACTGTAGACACATACTTCCTCTTTCATACTCATACATCATCATCACAACCTCGAGATGCATTCGCAAAAACTATCGTCAGTAATACCCAGAGCGTCACTCACTTCACTTCAGAATATTGGGAGCGAGTCAGTCCGTCACTATTCGTCACACAAGGTACCCAATCCAGGCATTTTCACTGCAATCAGCTTGACAGCATGTGCCGCACGGGAACTTCCGCATGGCTCCTCTCTTTTCTCATCGTGGGATAGCCATTGTAAGCAGTTTAATGTAGTATGGCGGGCGGCTAGCTTCGACTTCGAAACTGTGCTTTTGGGGCACCCACTGTGCTTGTTCCCCAGAATCTTCGTACGGAGATGCTAGCAGCGATTCCGATTACCCCGCTTTGAGTGGCTTTGTGTCCCTTGCTTCGTTCGATTCCGTATGCTTCCTGTTCCGCATCGCCGTTCCGCACATAAGTTGCTATATAGGCAGCGTAAACTAGTAAGGGCACCAAAATTAGCGTATCGTCGTCCTTTTCATGGTTCCCACCCCTCGCCTTGACATACTGAAAGCTTGTCTCGGTACTTGATACTCCGTACCAAAGGTAGATAGTAGTGGAAAGAGTCGCGGAATCGTGCTATCAATAGCAGTGCTAGACTGGGGTAAGCTGGTCTCCAGGCTCATCCTAGTTCCTCTCTGCCCTGGTGCTGAAAATCGTACGTCAATGTGCGATTGTGGCCTGGAAGCTTCCGAAACCAGTGCGGCTGACGTCTTCTTCCCCAGGCTTCCTTGCAACCGGGGGACGCTGGCAGGACAAGGATGAGCTTCCTGCAACCTCAGCATCCGTCTCACCGAGAGCGATAGCAGGTGATCCATCAAAGTTTGTTGCTGTTGCGGCCCGCCACGCCTAGAGGGCCTCGCCGGTCCTATGGAACATGCAAGATGGTCCGGGGGTTCCAGATAAGCGCAAGATAATCACATAATCTATTGCCGCTACCCCAGAAAAAAACATGCCACTGCGGCCACTTGGTTTAGTCAAGCGCCAGCGCTGGACAGACTCCTCACTCATAGCAAGCTGCAGAGTGCAGAGTACCTTATGTTTGAATCTCCACTCATTCCATTCATAAACACGTGCTGCATTAAGCATACAGCTGATGATGGCTCCGTATACGACATCAAAGGTTCCTACATAAACCTTGGTGCCTGACATCTGTATTAGCGGCTCTGTAGATTGTATCTTGTGTTCTAGGTATGGCAAGTGGGCGAATTCGATACCTGCTATCGGTTATTCGGTAGTTCGCAAGGGGCTCTAAAGATGCCGCCGTTGATAGTAAAGTCCTTCGGTAGACGCTCCCGCTTTAGAACCCACCTTGTAGCAGCTTCGTCAGCTTCGTCAGCTTCGTTATCGGGTATTTCTGTTATCACCTATAATGCTGATTCCTATTCCAAAGCAAATACCAAGAGGCTTCAGCGAATTCTCGGGATGTTTATTTGATTAGTGAGCCACCACTAGAGCACGGCTTCGAGATCAGAAGGAGCGGGGTTGCCACTACCTTAGATTTAGACTCGAAGGATTGATATAAATGCCTTAGTTCTTGTCTTGGGAGCCTACAACTACTAGTACCTCCTACACAAACGCCCATATGTAGATACATGGCAATTTAGACCGGTAGGGCTCACCTAGCATCTCTGTAATATAGATTGCTATATTACATTTGATCCGCTTCCAAAAGTGAAATGCTTAAATGCTTACGTTATGCGGCCGGCGGGAAGCTCCCGAGGCTCGAACAGCACTCATCGCCGTTATTGGTAATTTTTTACGATTCTGGGCATCTAGTTGTTATAACATGTGGGGGGGAGGCTACGTCCATACGAAATGCTCCATACTGCTAAGGGATGACCACTCCTATGTACTATATCTGTACTGTAGTAGCTTGTACCTAAATATATCAACGCCGCGGGCAATTATGTAAATGTTCAAGCTGCGGAAGATGGATGCCGCTATTTTCTGTTGGGAGATGCGATGAAGATACGGAGCGGCGGCATAATCAATTGCCCCGTGGCGATGACGAACAGTCCACCTGAAAGAATACACATACTGTATGTGTACCTGTATGTGTAACTGCACTCGTGTAAGAAAGTGTTGGCTCACTCTTCAATTATAGCGAGGGGCACATCGAGGGGACACTAACTCCGCAGTTCGTCCAGGCTCGGCTCGGCTAATACCCGAGACAAGTGATCGACCTCGACTAATAACGTGCTCTATCACGAAATAGGCAAATGAGCCGACGGGAGATTTCACCGCATCTTGATCAAAGCAAGCTAGATGTTATCTCTTCAATATCGCTGCAGCCGCCGCCCGTCTTCTTGAGCCAAGATACCCCTTTTGCTTTGTGGACAATATAGGTGCTTGGTGCGTATTCGTCTTATTTTACGATTCCCAAGAGTTCAAATGCCGTAGAAATCATGATCGTGCACGCCCCCAGTAACCCACTATGGTCTCGACAACTCAACTCATGACTCAGTTGCTGCACCGGTTGACACGTTGACAATTTGATACTCCTTACTTGCCCAACGTTTTATATGGGGCAAACAAGGGGTAATGTCAATTGCAGAGTGATAGAGTGATAGCAACACGAAGAGTCAAGACTTGTTATGAGGCCTTTTCACAGCTTTATATGGCACAATTACCTTGAATCCAGATGTATCACAACCTAGCTCAATACGCTGAGCACTGGGCTCAGTCTTCAGCATGATGGGTACCGCAGCCCCTTGTCGCCAATTCATTTACATCGAGCGCCTGTACCTTGCAGCTGCGGCCAGCATCTCATATCCCCAATGCAGTATAGCAATCTGGCTTCTTTATCATCTTCTCGGTTTCAACGACAATAGCTCCACCACTTTGCAGCCAGATGTGCCCCATGATTGTAGGTAGTTGCTGAATTGTGGAACAGCAGCTGAATGGTCTACTGTATGCATGGCCGATCTGCATAAATACAGCTCCATGCGCGACATGAGCTGATACGCGCTGTGGCAGCTGAATGATACCAATTAGGAATGCTTCATATATGCGAGACGTAGGATGATAGCTGAGTTGAGCCCAATTTAAACACCCGAGTTAACTCTGTTCGACCAGGTACACGGATATACTGCGGGTATGTTAGTCTACAGAGCTGGTGAAAGGAAGCCTCGGCCATGTTATACTCTAGCTGTGCGTAAGGATCCAGTTTGGCAAGACTTCCATGTTCCAAGCTGTATACCTAGCTCTTACACGGCTGAAATAACACTGATCATCTCCCATATGCTTTGCAACACAGAATAGTGAGCAAGATCTAAAAATATTAATTCAAACACCATTCAAATATAAATGACAGAGTCTTGTCCGCGGGCTCCGGCACTAGGCCTGCAGAGCGCAAACGTAACAGCAAACGTCCCAATGTGGAAGCTGGCATGGCGAAATGACGATTGCACCAAAGAACCAGGCCTTGGCATTCGGATTGTGTCCCTTTTCAGATCGGCACTCTATAGAGTATTAAGCTTAATACTGTTTTTACATGCCAATAGTAGTATATTACAGTACTACGAACTCGGATTCATGTTCAAGCATTAATGCAAGTATCAGCGTTGACTTATAACAACTACTAGTATCTATATACTTACCTGTATGTAGCCACCTGTATCGAGGGCAGATGCCACCAAAGTAATAGCATGTGCCATACAATACCAGGAAAGCATTTACAGAATTTTCCAAGTTTTCGAAAGAGTAGAAACTTTCATGCCATCACATTCCCCGCGCCTCGTGTTCTCGCTAGCTTTCTCCTCTCCTCCAGCGTTCCATTGCATGAATCAGTCCTACTTAGCCCAAGTCTCCTCTCCAAACTGCCGAAACTCCTCCAGCAAACGACGATGCGATTCGTCGTCCCCCGCACGAAATCATGCTCGTCAACGTTACTTTTAGACTTAAAAAGTTAGCGTGCAGGGGTTAAAGAACAACATCCCGGGGTAAATGCTTTGGCGATCACTTCCGTAACCAAAGAGGGTATCCTTGCCTGTCTGCCAATTTATGGTCGTGCTGATGTATCACCAGGCCATTGTTGAAGTGATCAATATACAACACACCTTCGATGGGCTTTGAGGGAAGCATTTCTCGGCCACGATACCTGAATGAGGAAACTGATGCTGCTTTCACATGTCCTTTGGGCGATGGTGCAGATGCTGGTGCTTGAGTGAAGAGAGAAATTGCGACCGCGGTTGCCAGTTTAGGTCACGAGGAATGAAGCATAACATTGCATTGCATTAGACCCAAAAGCAAAGAAAGGAGCACGACTCTATGGTTCAATATACTCTCAAGGCGAGGCCAGTAAGCAAACATGAAGGCGGCCACTCTAGTCTGATGTCGACCTATATATAAGCATCACCAGCTCCCAAGTGATAAACAGATACTTGCCAATAAGATCTTTACCCCTTCCAAGAACTGGAGTTGAATCTTCCGCCATGCTTCGCAACTCCATCACCGCCCTAGCCGGCCTCCTAGGCGCCACATCAGCCTTCGAATTCTACACCTTTGACGGCCCCGGCTCGCCATCATGCCACAACGTCGTCGAGGTCCACAACGCAACCAGCGTCGCCGAGATGGCCTCGCTCGTCAAAGACGCCTCCCGCCGCGGCCTACAGGTGCGTGCCGGCGGCAAAGGCCACATGTGGTACGACACGCAGTGCTCCGACAACGAGACCGTCATCATCCGCACTGAGTTTGTCAACGGCATCTCCGACTTTGACCTCGAGGGCGGCAGCGTCGTGGTTGAGGGCGGAGTGACCTTTTTCCAGCTCGCCGAGTATCTGCATGAACGGGGGGCCAATATCGGCACGGGCTTGGTGAACTGGAACATTACGCTCGGGGGCAGTATCGCCATGGGTGCGCATCGTACGTCGCTGAGGGAGGATGCCGTGGTGGTTGGCGGCGTGCTGGCGCTGGAAATCATTGACGGTAATGGAGATATTCGAACAGTTTTTAGAGATGAGAGTAATGAGGATTGGCTTGCTGCGTCGACGTCTTTGGGTTTGTTGGGGATTATTGCGCGGATCAAGATGCAAATCTTCCCAGAGAGCAAAGTATACGCCATGCAAACGACGTTGGTTGTCCTTTTTATAATTCATCGCTCTCAGCCTCATCACCGTTCAAAAGTTGGATAGCTAACAGTCTTGCAGTCTTCAAGAGAATGATGTTCTCAACGGCGATATCTATAAGCTCATCTCGCCATATCTGACAGCCAATTTCTGGGTAAGTCCACCTTCATCTAAACCATCTTAGTTTCAAATATGTTAGATATATAAGAGAGATGGAAAAGAAGCACTCACATCTCTTCTCATGCAGTGGTGGCCCTCCCAGCACAAATTCCACTGGCGCACCTACGACATCGTTCCCACAAACACAAGCAGCCAGCTCGGCTTCCAATCCACCTTCTCCGTCACCGCCCTCGAAGCCGGCGCCGCCGTCGTCCTCCTCAACAGCGGCAAATACAGCTCCATCCCCAACCTCGCCGCCGAGGGCATCTTCTTCGGGCTCTGGGAGAAGCCAAACTTCCACGACAAGGTCACCGACGCCGAAATCACCGACTGGCCCGTCTACGGCTGGAACTACGACGTGCTGATTGGCGGCCTGTATCCCGGACAGAAACCCGAGTGGGAATACGGGCTGAAAGGGTACACGCTCGAACTGGCCTTTCCCGTGACGAGGGCAAACGAGGTGCTGAAGCGGATTCGGGCCCTGTTCGATGCGGAAACGGCAAAGGGGATGCCCATGGCGTCGACGTACCGGAGCGGCATCAACATCAAGTTTGGCAAGGCGCATTTTGATTTCCTGGGGCAGGTCACGACGGATACTGCTGATGGGCAGGACTGGAGCAAGGGCGCCATCATGTTTGATTTCCCGTCTTTTCGACCTAGTCTTGGAGATGAGAAGCGATACAACGAGGCATTCTGTAAGCAAAAGCTCACCATCACACCTTCCAATCCGAGATTAGAGCACGATAAAAGGAGAAAAGAAAGCTCTTACAACGCTAATCGTTTTGTGTTTCCTGTCTTCAGACATCAATTTGGCCAATACATTGGTTGACGAGTTCCCATGCCGGCCTCACTGGACAAAGAATACCCGTGATGTCTTCAAGCGCGCAGTCAAAAACTTGGATCCAAGTGTAAATTGAAACTCTCCCTTTCACAGTTTCCTATCAAACTTGTTTTCTCTTCCTTTCTCTTCCTTTGTCCTCTTTGGTAGCTGACTGGCAATAATAGTACCTCTCTCGCTTTAAAGCTGTGCGGCAAAAGTTCGATCCCAAGGGCATTTATCGCAGCGTTGTCGGTGAAATTATCGGCATGTATGACTGAAAAGGGAAAGATTACATACGAATCACACACTGCTGGACATAGAAGCGCACAGTTTGTATACAACAGCATAGTAAAGAAACATCAAATTTTATTCTATGGAATGTATTAGACGAGCGCACAGTCTTGGTATCATTAAGCAAATATTCCATCGACAAAGGGAGAAAGAGACAAAGATATTGTTTCTATATTAATGAACAGCAAGAGAACAAAGGAGTCAGGGGTATCAATCACACAGGCTGACAAAGCTCTGTAATTAGACTTATCCAACATGTCGCACATTAATCGTCCCCCCCAACACATTATGAACAAGCAAGTCGAAAATCGCCCATATTTCGCAGATTATGTGTGCTCATTTCTTTACAGGGATATAAGCCTTGTTGCCAATGGCCTTGTCCCACATCGTCTCGAGAATGCCACGCACAGGCCTGCGCTTGCCTGCGCCAGTGTCCATGTCGGCCTTGAGCTTGTCATAGACAGAGGGCAGCGTCTCGGCCTTGTACTTCTTGCGCATTTCGTCGTAGACATCCTTGCGGTAGATGAGCCAAAATTCGTCCTCGGTATAGTATGTTCGCGCATACAGGAGCTTGGCTCCCATGAGTTCGGCACTGCGCAGCTCAAGCTTGCGGTTAAGCTCGTAAAAGGCTTTGGGGTCACGAGGTCCGCGGCCGTAGACACCGACGGCAAAAATACGCTGGTCCGAGACTTCATCGACACGGGCGTTGAAACGAGACGTCAGACCAATCTCTCTGGGAGCCTTGCAAGGAGCCAGGAAAATTTGCAGCTCTGGCAACGTGTCATTGACAAAGGCAATAAACTCCTTGACAGTGCTAGCCGGGATACCAAAATCCTGGACGACATATTCGTTGGCAAGTCCGGACTTGTGCAGCGCGTGGTAGCAGGTACGGCTATCGAGGAAGGGGTCGGCCAGGCGGCGAGTAATGGCATTCTCAGGTACGTGGAAATGCTTAAAGGCAAGCTTGCCGCCCCAGAAAGCACCGTGGTCGTAGCGGAAGAGGTAGTCGGGGGTATACATGTAGAGATCCGCAGGCTTGTCCGCGGTAGGCTGCTTCTTGATGGCAGCTTCAATAGTGTCGGCAAACCAATGCACCTCCATCTTTTTAAGAGGGAATTTGCCTTTGGGCAGGGTCTTGATAAAACGTCCAAACATGACGACAATTACGCCCCTGCGGAAGTAGACGCCATCGATGAAGTGAATCGACTCGTCTTTGGCGGCTTCCTCAAAGAGATCGTGGGCCTTGGCAACGTCGTCGACCAGCTGGACGTCCAATTGAACGAACGGAGTGGCCGGAATCAGCTCAATGGTGAGCAGGGTAACGATACCAAAGGTCCCCAGGCTGCCTGCAGCATGCTCGAGCAGGTCTGCGTTGCGTTCGCGATTGGCCTTTTCCAGCGTGCCGTCGCCAAGCACAATCTCGATCTCGGACACGGTGTTATTGAAAAGACCATAGCGGTACATGCTGCTCTCGCCGGAAAAGCCAGAGTAGCCGCCGCCAACGGTGATTCCCTTGAACTCCATCACAATCTTGGGAATGACTCCGTGTTTGAGCGTATGAGCGGCCAGCGCGTCCATGGGCACCTTGGGCTCGGCCTGCACAGTCATGGTCTCCAGATTCACGGGAAAGATACGGTCCATGCTGCTGGTGTCGACAATGGCATCGGCCTTGAAGGACAGCGGGCGCGTAGAGCTGGTGGAGCCATGATAGACTCGGAACTGCTTCTTGTTGTCGTAGAAGTGCTTGACTTGTTCTTGGATACTGGCAACAGCAGTGTTGTGCTCCTCAAGAAGCTTTGCGGGATTCATTTTGACAGGCGATTTGTAGGGGGTATCAATATATCAACAAGCAACGCAAATAAAGACAGTAATGGCAATAAGACGCCAGTTATTATTAGAACGCAGCAAGAGTAATAAAATCAGCAGAAGCAGAAGACTCAATGCCCATCGACGCCCTCTCGCCACGCAGAGTCTGGATCGGTTGAGGTGTATGTAAGAGAGAGAAAACAAGGAATCGCCGGAGAGCTCTGCCTGCTGTGACGACGGTGACGTCCACGCATCGGCACATCAGCGAGCAGCTGCCGTTCCGGCAAATTAGGGGGGCTGGGGCTGCTGACGTTTGGTGCTCAGCCCCTACCTTCGCTGGAGCATCCGCTGGAGCATTGGCTGATGGTGGTTTTAGCTTGATGGCCAGGTTGGCGGTCGAACCACTCTGAGGAGCGTCAATCTCCCGCATTGCGAGGTGAGACAGAGGTGTGAGACTGGATGGCTCGGCATGAAGTCGCACCGCTTTAACATCAATGCAAGTTTGTTCCGTCTGGTACTACTCCAAGTACCTAGTTTCATCTTCTTTGTTGTCTTTACGAGCAGGACCTGGCTAAGACTTGTTCGCGATTTTGAGGCAGCCCACACATGCCCCACGCACCCAGCTTCCAAATTGCATCAACACCAAATGCGCCACTAACAAAAGTGGCCGCCTTTGTTTGGAGCTTCCGCCAATCGGTTCCTTTGCCCTGTCCGACTCCCCGTCTTGCTCATGGCGCTTGAGCCGCCCTGCGATCCTGCAACTCTCGGTTTAGCCCCAGGCTGTTTGCGAACATGCGGAGAGCGCCGCTCTAAGCTTAAAAGAAAATTCAGCCACAGGCACAGAGTTGAAAGAAGTCTCTGGCTGTCTACCTGTGTTGGTTGATTCTGAAGGCGTATTTTAGTACTCCTGATATTTGTATCCTTCTCGTTATCCCCGTAATCAGGCTAAGTACGGTATGGAGCTTCATGCAGTACTTGGCAAAGGCACATCTCCTCGGACTTTTATTTTTTCAAATTTCTTTTGTTATTTTTTTTTTTTAAATATATTCCATTTTCTCTCCATGGAACGTGGCTTGCATCGTGCATTGAAGATGGATTTCTTTCATTTTTATTTAGGCGCACCTCTCGGGGTTATGAGTTATCGTGGCCTGTATCATACTTTTTCCTTACACGGCCGGTCAAGATTGTGAATCTGTCAGGGCATAATAAAAACACACCCATTTCACACACCATACTTGTACCTTATCTACTCCCAAAAATCGTAGTAGATAGCTCGCATTCTACCTATCTATATTCAAAATGCTAAATTTTTACCCAATAACGAAGAGAGGAGTTGGTGGTTCCTCCATCAGATCGAGAGCCGCCATGTTCTAGGGTAGATTTCACGATGCGCATATGTGTAAGCCAGCAAGAGGGGACTGACACAGAAGTTTATGTAGCCAGACTTGAAAAGACTATTCAGTCGCCAAACTATCTTTCTCAATAAAAAGACTAGAAAAAAAAGATGTCAAGTTGAACGAGACATAAGCGCACTACTGCTCCTTTTGATTATGTGCTGTCTGTATATGCGCTCGTACCTACGTTGTTCACATGTTCGCATGCTCAGAACCTTTGCGGCGCCTAATCGCTGCTATCGATAACAGTGGGTCTGGCGCGATACTGGGTTATGTCAAGCTCGCGTGGTTCAGCTACAACTTTTGCGACAGCTACAGCTAAAGGCAACATACAAAGGAGGCTTCATGACATACGGCTGGTCATGTCTTCGATATACAATCTCGAGCCGCAGCCCACGGGCTCGGCAGTCCTGCACACAACCCTAGGAGAAATCCACGTCGAGCTCTTCGCCAAGCAGACACCACTGACGTGCCGCAATTTCCTTCAGCACTGTCTGGACGGCTATTACGATGGCACAATCTTCCACCGACTCGTCCCCAACTTCATCGTGCAAGGTGGTGACCCTACAGGAACCGGAAATGGTGGCGAGTCAATCTACGACGGAGGCGCTTTTGGCGGCGATCTGGATCCCTGGCCCATGGACCAGAGACATGGACAGAACGCAGGACCCAACGGCATCAACTTCAGAGACGAATTTCACTCCCGACTAAAGATCAACCGACGCGGTCTCCTGGCCATGGCCAACGAAGGCAAACCAGACACGAACGGAAGTCAATTCTTCTTTACACTAGACAAAGCAGAGGAACTGAATGGCAAGAACACAATGTTTGGCAGAGTTGCCGGAGACACAATCTACAACTTGGCAAAGATTGGCGAATCAGAAGTGGATGAATCGACCGACCGACCGCTATATCCGGTCAAGATTGAGCGGGTGGAAATTTTGGTTAACCCCTTTGGCGATATGAGAAAGCGATCGAGGGTGGCACAAATACAGGAAAAGCCAAAAGTAGAAAAAGAGAAGAAGAAGAAAAGGAAAGGCGGAAAGCAGCTGCTCAGCTTTGGAGACGAAGAGGGCGATGAGGACGTGCCTGTCTTTAAAAAGGCCAAGTTTGACTCAAGGATAGTCATGGCAGAGGAGGAAGAGACTCCTGCTCCCAGAGAGAAGAGCTCAAAATCAAAGCCTTCTAAACCGAAAGCCGCAGATAAGCAAGCAAGCGAAAGTCGCACGACCCATGATAAGCCAGACGAATCGGTTGCTGAAACAAAGGGCGATGACGAAATGGAAGAGGAGAGACCAATGGATATTCCTTTGCGCAAGAGACATAAGGAACCGTCGCCCAAACCATCACCGGAGCCAGAGCCGGCCAAGGAGAAGAGTGCATTAGAAAGGGCCAATGAAGAGCTAGCAGCTCTAAAGGCATCAATGAGGAGGACAGTCCACTCCGAGCAACCAGTCAAAGAAAAGAAGAAATCCGCGTTAGAAACAATGATACCCGAAACATCCATACGAGGAAGAAAAAGGCGGCCCGGCGGTAACAATACAACAGCAAGCGAAGAACAGTCATCCCTTCGCCTGCTAAAAGCTTTCCAAGCGAAGCTTGAGAAAGCTCCGCCATCAAAAGAGACAGCTGCAGAAATTCCCGTCAATAACAAGGAGGGCGAAGTAGAGAAGCCCTTACCAGACGAAGAAGCAGAGCTATGTGACTTGCACTTTATTGCAAATTGCCAAAGCTGCACGTCGTGGGATAAACAGGGCAAGGAGGATAGTGACGACGAAGGTTGGATGTCACACGCACTTTCGTTTGCGGCCGATAAGCTCGGCAAGGACCTCAGCAACCGTAGGAAGGCTGAAGAGGAGCTGGTCGTCATTGATCCGCGGGAGAAGGCTCGGACTCTAAAAGAGGAGAAACGCGCTGAGCGAGAGGCTCGATCTGGGGGATCTGGGAGGGCGTGGGATCAAGCAAGGAATGCTCAGATGGCGAAAGCTTCTTCATTGGCTGGTAGGGGAGCGAAATGAAAGTTTGGATTCTAAGGTACTCACATAATGTAATGCTTCTTATCATTAATTTTTGGTATTATGGCGTAGCGTATGGGTAGTGCTTTAGCTCTTACTATGATTGCTATCATGTTCTACTTTGTATATACTCTCTTCGTTGGTTATGCTGAATCTGGATCAAGACATCGGTTATATCTAAATGTACCTAGCTCGGGAAACCCAAAGCTGCCAATCTTCAGCTAGGTGGTACCAAGCAGAAACCACCTTTACTCCACGCTATCTTAGCTTCACTCCACATACAATGAGCTCGAGAATGCCTCGAATTGAGAACCAATTCATTAAAGTTCTGAGATCCCCCGTTACAGTTGAGGTTTCTGGTAAGGTTTAGCGACGCCGGGTTTCCAACAAGGTCTTCGTGGCGCAGTTGGCTAGCGCGTCAGTCTCATATTGACATCAATATGATTCAAACATCAAGTTTGGGCCATCTGAAGGTCGTGAGTTCGAGCCTCACCGAGGACATTGCTTTTTGCTTTTTGCTCGGCCCCAATGAGTTCACCATGTATCGTTGTCTCATTGTTATGTTTTACAATGACGATTATATTGTAACGGGCCGTTAGAATTTTACAAGAGGTATACATGTTTGGCAAATCCATGACTTCAGCGTGCATGAACTCAGAACGAACTCTTCGAATATCGCATGATTTTACAATGAGCAGAACGGTCTGGACCAAAAGATATGAGCGATAAGACCACTTTGGGCAGTGATCTCCGTTTCTCATTGTGGGCTGTACTGCAACCATCATGTAAGCTTTCTTTTTTTGATCAAAATTGCTGTCCAAGTGTAAACCGTCTGCTGCTAGATACTGTGGTTGTTGGGTGTAGTAATTTCGACCAGCAAGTTAAGCTATGTTTGTGTGCTATTTGTCCGGACTTCATTCCGCAATCTAGACGCAACAATGAACAAAGTTTGCTGTTTGTCCCGAGTCCAGAACTCATCTATGGGACACTAGCACGGACAAGGCGGCTTATCATCACGTGCTGACAGCTTTATTTCGCTGAGCAGCCTCTATCGCCTCGCGTGCTGATTGGCCGATCTGGCTAGACGCCGCGATGACATCCTTAGACCGCTGACCGAAGCCCACTCTTGCGAAAGTCCTTGGTAATTGTGAAATCAACATTTTCTCGACCACGCCCGACTTCCTGCCATCGAGCTGGGCTGATATCTCGGCCAGCCCAACGAACGAGCTGCCCGCTGCGCGCCTGAGCACGCCATAAATCGCCAAACCCCCGCGCCGGAACCGAGGCCTCGCTGCGGCCGAACAGAATTTTCCCTCTTTTGGTTGCGTTTGACGCAGCCCAGCTGGATCCGCCCAACGAGCGTCGCGCCGGCAAAATTCAGAGAGCTCGGATTGCCGCAGAGTATCAGGCGCCGAGGCATAGGTACCGCCAGAGAGGTGGTAGTTTTATTTTATTTCTTTCTACTCTCTAGGCTGCAACCGGTTGCCTGATTACATTGACAACCGCGCGTGCCACGCCACTATCATTTTCATACGCCCAGCTCATTGCTGCGGCCAGCGAATTTCACAGCCTTTCGCAACGGCCTTATCGATCTCGGGTTTGCATAATCAGCCAAGAAAGCCGACGTGTTCTCTCTCCGGCCCGAGGGCAGGCGCTAACCTCCCGCTCGCGCCCAATTCCAATCAGCTCACTGTTGCTGGATGCAGCAGTAAATCGGCCTGCTCTTCGAGATACTGCAGGCTGCTTTACCTTGCCTTTGGGCTGCGGGCTCAGCACTGTTCTAGGCATCATCCATCGGCTTTCGATATCGCGACTGGACCTCGACTCACCCCATAAGAAATTCCACACCTCTGACGTTTCTTCTCGCGCAATTCCTCGCTTGAATAGCTCAGCGACCGGCTCCTACGGCGTCGTATATTCTTAGACATGTCTGCATCAAATTCCCGGAAGCGAGCAGCGCCCGGTGCGACGCCAGTCGTGCCGATCCAGCGGAATGTGCCGCAATCACATCCAGCCGACCTTAGTACTGGAGCGAACCCTATGATGCAATGGAATACCGCTGGCGGTGCGACTGAGCCGACCGATTACTTTAGTGCTGCCACAGCACACCGCGAAGATCCATACGGACTTGCGCAAGCACAGCAGGCATACCCCCCGGCTGTGAATGCGCCATCGAACTCACTTGCACGGCGACAAACGAACCGTGCTCTTGTTCCCACGAATCTTAGAGCTTCGTACGACACTTCTTCGGACCAGTGGAACGCCTTTGGCGATGACGGCCTCCTCGTTCCGCAGACCGCGACGGAGGGCAGAGTGGAGCAGGACAACGTGGAAGTTTTAGAAGAAATGGCCCAGAAGGCGAAACGAGAAGCTCAGGCTAAAAGGAAGCAGATTCCGCCATTCGTTCAAAAACTAAGCAGGTAAGTTTCTGCAGCGGAACTCTAGGCAGGAACGCCACGTACTAAATCTTGAATCAGCTTTCTGGAAGAACGCAAAAATGAAGATTTGATTCGCTGGTCGGAAAAGGGCGACTCTTTCATAGTACTGGACGAGGATGAATTTGCCAAGACGCTGATTCCCGAGTTGTTCAAACACAACAACTATGCGTCTTTCGTGCGACAGCTCAACATGTATGGCTTCCATAAGTGCGTAGGGCTTTCAGACAACTCCATGAGAGCAAGCGAGCGCAAAAACAAGAGCCCAAGCGAGTATTCGAATCCATATTTCCGACGAGGCCACCCGAATCTTCTATGGCTTATAAATAAGCCGAAGAGCGGTGGCAAATCGAAAAAGGGCAACAAGGGCCAGGACGGCGATGTGGATAGTGAAGAGGAAGTTATCCACGAAGATATCTTGGCTCATCAGGGTATTCCGTCGGCCAACAACACGAACCGATCTCTACCCGCTGCTGGGACTGACGCCAATCAGGCTCTGCCCAAGAAGGAGATGACATTGATCAAAGAGGAGCTACAGAAAGTGCGAGAGCAGCAGAAGCTGATTCTCGGAGCTATTAACCGTCTACAGCGAAATAACAACGATTTATACAACCAGGCGATGCTGTTCCAGAGCCAGCATGACCGACATCAGAACTCGATTAATGCTATCCTCAATTTCCTAGCCAACGTCTTCAGAAAAACCTTGGAGGATCAGGGTAACCCGCAGAATGTTGGAGATATCATTTCTAGCTTGATTGCCAATCAAGGACCACAGCCAACCCACCAAGGCAGCGTTGTTGATTTGGGAGATTTCTTCCACGCTCACCAGCCTAGCACTGCCAGCTCAATGAGCGTTCCCACACCTAGAAAGACTCAGAAACTGCTCCCAGGAATCCCCCAGGTCAACCAGCCATTGGTTCAGCCGAGCCGGTCGCCGTCAGCCAGCAGCACACCGTATCAACCTGTTGGGGCTCATCCTGAGATGGGGCATGTTACTGAGCTGGTCGATACATCACCTTCGGATACGACATCGAACCTGAGGCAAGAACTCGAGGTTAACCCCCACGAACGGATGATGAAGATAATAAATGACCACAATGCAAGCAATCCCCTTGATTTACCAGACGCAACCGAACTTGTGAACAATACTCCGAATACTTTGAGTAACGACCAGAGGAGCAAACTAGTCGACTTGATGGCATCACAGACAACATCTTCTGCGATGCCAAACATACCTGCTGTGTCTGATCCTTTGGCTAAAAGGCCTCCTGCCACTGCCGCATCAGCCGTCCCTCCTCCAGCGCAAAGCAGTAGCCCCGTAGCGCCATCCCTCTCACCCATCATGCGGTCACCGACTATGCCAGCGCCGTCCCTGCAACATATTGGCACGAACCAGACTGAACTCGAACAACTAAAACAACTGCAGAATGAACAGGATGCAAAGATTCATGAGCTTAGCGACATTTTGGGGCCGTTAAGTCCGAACGGGCACATTCCAGGCATAGACGACGGAAGCGAAGCCTATTTTGACGCTCCACCTGTCGATTTGGACCAGTTCTTTGATAGTAACGCCTTCCTGAATGATGCTCAATTTGGAGATGGAAACGATTTCAACTTCAATATCGATGCAGATGGACTTCACAACGGACTTGATGTGATGAACCATAAGTTTGATACTCCAAGTCCTGCGGGAACTGAGGAAATTCTCCGAGATGACTTGGGGTTGAACGGTAGCCCTGATCATGGGAATAAGAGGCGGCGCATGGGCTGATGTTTTTGAGCGGTTGACTGCCCATGAACTTTGAGCGTTTTGCTACTCTACGCAGAGCGAGTGAAGACCACACAAGACTTTTCCAATCAATTGGATGCTCCCAGTAAGATTTACCGGGTTTATGCCACGAATATAATCAGATTCAACAAAGAAAGCTACGACATAAAAGAGGCGAACCGGCGACGGGGCAAATTGGAGATATAAGGCATCTACTGGAGCAATATTCAAGGATTAGCTCGTTTAATGAGGAGCAGCTCTTTCATATGTAACCCATTCACAACAAAGATTTCACTTCGCGCTGATACAAAGCCAAAAGAAAAAGTTTCTAGTGCAGCATAGCATTTGGCTTCGTTCGACACGGGAGGAACAAATTAGTGGCACGGCGTTTTCACGGTGAGCTTACTTTTTTTTTCTGACCAGCAGTGGCGATAACTAGTATATATAACGTACGAGGGGGGTTTTCTAAATAGACATTGTACAAAGTTTGGAAGCATGCCTTTTCGAAACAAAGCCCAGAACAGAACAGAACCACGTTTATTTTTCTTTCGTTCACCTTTCCAAAGCGATAGCTACTGTTCACAATTGCAACTGAGCTGCTCAATGGCCTTGAGCCTGAACACATGAGTATATGAATGGATACGACTTGGTATTGTGATGAGCTGGGGAACCTATGAGAAGTATGCTAGTCGTATATAGGAGAATTTCCGAGTGACATTTCTGACCTTCTGGCTTTGTTTTACACGTTTCTTTGTCTTGATAATGCTATCAATTACAGGCCGCTCCAAATGGATTTATTAACTCGGCGGAATTCTTACGGCTGAGCCATCGCCAATATCAGAAAAAATGAATAATTCCCTCTCTAACGCTAGAGATGAGAAATCTCTGTGGATACCTCTGCTGTCATCGCGGTTCTTCAGAGTCAGTTATTGTACCCCGAGTGCCTCCCAAGGATGCGCTTCATGTCGTTCCCCATGATGAACCTCAAGAGATCCCCGGAGATGAGCCTCAAGTCATTCCCGATAATGCGCCGGTTCTGAGAATATACTTTGCAGCTAGAGGCCAGGATATCATAGGAACTCAGTGGAAGTGTCGAGAGTACCGGATCAGATTTCGGGGGCGTTTCAGAAAGGGTGCTTCGACCAAGACGTCTTCACCTTCTCAATCTGAACAAACGATGCGACCAAAACATAAACAGACAGACTCTTCGAAGCAGCCACAACAACCTCCCACCTATAGTCAGTCCCAAAAGCAGCATGCATCATATAGTAGTGCTGAGGATGCTGAAGAAGAGAAACACCGCCGCCATAAAGACACGCTTGAGCAGCTTGAAGCAAACAATTCTCAGTCACAATTGGGTACTATCAAACATCAAGAATGGTCCAAGCTACACATGCTTATCGCTAATGGATTAGATGAAGAAGCAAGAGACTATTTTCCCCCGGTAGCGGAGGGGCAAGAGGCTCTTTTACTGCTCATAGAACAAGATAGAAACTCTTGTGAGGTGAATATGGAGAATATGAGAGCCTCGGATATTGAAGACGCGAAAGCTGCTTTGAAGCAGATAGAGTATTGGAAATGGAAGAATGTTGTCATCTTCGTCAGGGATGGAAATGTGCCATTGGAGCAGACGGAGTGGCCGATAATGGAGAAGCCGTGGGAGCTTGATTGGGCACTCCCTTTTATTTGAGAAAACAAGTGATCTGTTCATAGAGTAAAAATTGGAGATATGGTGAGAAAAATAAGGGATATAGAATGAATGTGATGTATGGAGGAAAGGAAGGTTGAGATGGAAGGCTGGTCTTTGAGAGGTCTCAAACGGAGTATAATTGAAAACGTTCTACTTTTGATATAATTTAAAGCTAATGTATAACATTAACTAATTAATTATATGCTACTATAAATGGCAAATGGTGTTGCCAAATAGTGATGCCTTGAACACATTTGAAGTTATAAGTTGTCTTTGGTACCTTTAAAGCTGATTACCTAATCGGGTTAGCTTCCACTTTGAAGCATATGCTCATAGCACTGCGGCAATCAAGACTCGCGAAATCTTGCAGCTCTAACAAACACAACTCACCAGCCACAATGTCCGTCACGCTTCACACGTCGCTGGGCGACATCAAGATTGAAGTCTTTTGCGAGAGCGTCCCCAAGACAGCAGAGGTATCTATGATCATTTTCTCCTTTTACCACAATTCACAAGCAATCGCCTGCTTTTCAACCGCTAACATCCAGTGCCTCGCAACAGAACTTCCTGGCTCTCTGCGCCTCCGGCTACTACGACCAGTCGCCCTTCCACCGCCTGATCCCCAAATTCATGGTGCAAACAGGAGCGCCCGCCAACCCAACCGCCGAAAACCCAAAGGGCGGCCAGTCGATCTGGGGCGGGCCCTTTGAAGACGAGATCCGACCCGCGCTAAGACACAGCGGCAGAGGCTTCGTTTCCATGGCCAATAAAGGACCCGGCACCAATGGCTCGCAGTTCTTCATCACGTTTGACAAGGCGCCTCATCTTGATGGCTTGAATACTGTCTTTGGGAAGGTGATTGGTGACGAGGGGATGGTGACGTTGGCGAAGATGGAGGCTGTTGAGGTGGATAAGAAGAGTCGCCCGAATGAGCCGTTTCGAATTGAAAAGGTGACGATACATGCGAATCCTCTGGCTGAATAGAGAGGAGCTGCGAACCCCGAGTCGTTTGAACAAGGGGCGAGAAAAAGAAACCATTCGGAACAAGGCCGTATTCGAGATCAAGTTTTTTTACCAAGAAGAGCCGGCTGCAGAGGTTTTACTTCTAACAACGTAATGCAACGCTGGCCGAAGCCTCACGAAGCGAGCCTTTACTACTTAGCATTGGCAAATTCAAAGAGTCTAGCATTCTTGCAAAGGCCCCAATACTGATCGTCGTCGAAGGCATAGGGGAGTCAGCTCTAGCTTGTTTGCTATAGACTCTCGCAACTGAGAGTGCGATACGCCATGGGATCGGAAGCAGGGAAGAAGAATACCAGATTCAACAAGATCTCAGCAGATCAGCAGACCTTAAGCAATATCGCTCTGAGCGAGCAAGTCTCAAATCACGGTCTATCGCGCACTTTACTCGAAATTCATGCGCCATATCAAACAGAATGATATGAGATAGAAATCAGCCAATTCATTAAATCTGACAGGAATCATGAAACACTTATAGCATACATCTGGTCTAGAATACTACCAGCTGGTACTAGATCCGATCTCATGAACAAGTGAATATACAGACGTGTTATTAGAGGCTTAGAAGTATTGCTGCGTAAGCTGTACATATAATTAGTATCTCACTTGGCCCAGTCTGACAATAAAGCATTTAACATCTCTGTAAGCAATGCATAGACAGTATGCAAGATCGACTTGGTAGTGATGGGCGGTTCTAAACGCCAACCACACAGCAACGGCCGACATACTGATCTTGGATCTTAGACCACGCGCTGAGCTATAAATAATGAGAAGAAAAATCGGGAGCATTTGCTGTACATCGTAGCTACAGCGTCTTGCGATTCATCCTAAAACTGGCCAACCGTGTGCGCAGCCTCAGGACCTGGAGTGCAATTAGTATATGTTGCCATGCTCTCACATCTGGGTAGTTTGGCAATGCGTTGATGTCGAGATGAATACCTCTAGTCATACATAAAGCAAAGGTTCTTGATTTATAGGTAGCTGTTTGTATCTTTTGCATCACCTAGGTACAGAAGCCATAATGCTATGATAACGTGACATTAGGTATAAATTCTCGTATGCTTCTGGCAATGTCTATATTATAGGTTCGGTTGATTGCTATATGACAAATCACATCCAGCTTAGCTAAGTACCTACCTATCAATCTTCTGACTTTGGTGGTATCTTTTTTCCTGTTTGGCCACTCTTACATCTTTCCCATCTGGGGCGTCCTCTTTCCTATCAACATCGGCCAACCATAAATAGCAAGAAGATAGGTGTTGCCTAAGAACGCTCTTTGTCGTTGTAATAGCCGCAATTTGAACAAGGCTTGTAGTAAATAAATGTTTACATTGTATTGCGTACAATGTTTCGCTGAGATCTTCGCACCTCAGGATTCCAAGTTTACCGTGTAATCGCCACCATTGATAGATATCCTCTCAGTCAGTAAATTTTCATCATAGTAATATTTTCATATCATTTAATGGCACAGATGGGGTGTCAAACTGGCAAGAGTACTTGATCCCGGCAACGTCTGTGTTGATGATGCCATCGCGAGCAAGTATTCTTATGTATAGATAAAAATGTAAATGTGTCAGTCATAGTGTCAATGGGGCACTCTATCGAATTGATAACGTCGCCGTCGAGCCGCTGCATAAGTAAGACCATAAGTGACGCTCAACATCAAAACAGTGATTCCAAGGTGCGACTTACGCAAAGCATTGGCCAACAGCATGGCCTTTTGTTGGCTCTGAAGCCACATTGAGGGTGCAATACGTGCAAGTGATTGAATCCATTGCGAATCTGAAAGCATGACAATGAGGAAATGGTGTTGCTTGTGGTGTTGTTCGAGGCGAGAGGGAAGTGTCTTTCTTTATGTCAGTTAGTAAATACTCATCAGCCCGGTAACCTACTAGTAGTCTGGCAACTTGCATTCCGCCAAAAGGCGTCGAGCCCATTTAGTAAGCATCGCGCGCTCCTGGTGATTGTGGAATGTATCCTTAACAACCAATGTGAATCAACGCGCTTGCTTTACTTGCCCGAGGCGGTATAAGCGATCATGGACTTGCAGCATGGCTTTGGCGTTGTGGTGGAGGGTCGCAATGATGATGATGCAACACTCGGTATGGAGATTGACTTCTGTGCTCATTATATTGATGTTTGCCACGAGTACTTCTGCTGATGAGTCTGAGTTTGCAAATTGTTTGATAGCATATAGCATCAATCTTTGCTCCAGCCTTATTAGTAGACCGCATAGTCAACACGTTAAAGCCTGGTATAAGCAACAAAGCCTACATGTGTCTACTGATCATTTAGCATCAATCATTCAAATGGTAGCGCGCGCCGTTTCATTAGACCTCTCGCAAACCATTTCAGCGAGAATTTTTGTGAAATGAGATCTTCGCCGGGGGCCTAAATAGGGAACTAGAGGGACTTCTTACTGCTGAATCCATGGGGTGTCCACACGCACAACAACCCTCTCGTGTTCATCGTGGACGCAAAGGTGGCAGAGCCCCAACGCTCTGGCTAGACTGGACTTGTGACTTTAAGTCATACGAGCCAGCCCAGCCCGGTATTGTTGTCCAACATTAGCAGCTTCTATAGGTGCTCGACGCCCACAGTTGGGACGTTGTCGTGAACTGCTGCTTATCTCAAAGTTCGGTAAGCCAAAGATGGCTTTGATGTTTGCGTATATAAATTTGGCATTGCGCCTATCGTATGCGCACAAAACACCTTCTCGATGCACGCTGAAAAACGGAGTCAAGCAGCAATCTCAAGTGAAAGAGTCCCATATAATTCCCTTTGCGAATGTCTGTTGGGTTACCCTCATTACTTGCGCTGGACGGAAGAAACAAGTCTGGTAGAGAACCCGTATTTCTTCAGATATATGTAAACAAGTGGGTGTGATACTTCCATCGCTGACCAGTCTCTTTCAGTTGCTGGCTGAATGGTCCATAAACTAGGCCATGAAGCCAATGAGAGGTCGCCAAGCATCTGTCGGAACAGCCATTATAACTGCTGTGATAGCCATGCCAAGCTTGCAGGATGATTCCGTTGTCCAATAGCATATCCCAAGACAGCATAAAGCCCAAGGCCTCGGTCTCTGCCGAATAATAGTCCATGGCAGCTTCGTTCCCGCCGTGAACAACAACCCGCGTATGATGGTTAAAGGTTTGATGGAAGTAGGTCTATGTTATCTCAAAGAGAACAGTTTCCTGTCGGGATTTCTGCATCCAATCTGGTAAACCAGACTCTGCAGTTCGCCAAGCGCTTGCCGTATTTTGTTTTGAGAAAACTGAAGGAGGAAGAATCCAAATGTCGTGCTATTTGACATCTGCAAGGTTGATAAAGTATGATTCTGAGTAATTTGACTGGTTCGTTCCAGAGCTTCACGGCATTGTTCGAGAAGTTGGGTTTCGCGAGATTCTAAACTCGTATGGTATCGTTTAAATCCACCTGATAGCCTTTTCCTGCGTTCTTCATCCATGGCAGTTGAACTCTCGCGTTTCTTTCATGTATCTATAGATTGGGAAAATGTCGAGGATGAATGTCTCTTGATTGAGAAAGATCAATAGTCTCCGACCAACGTGAAGCGCTGATTGCCATCTTTGCGTGAGTTGGATGAATATTGTGACTGGAATAATAGCCAGCTATAGGTTGGTCAAGTTGAATCATGACAAAGTCGTGAGAAATCAATATCCATAAGATGTCGCAATTGTCTGTAAATGTGCCGTTATGATGCGACGCCTCCATCTTAGAGTCCTGATAACATCACATTGGAAAGATTGGTAGAGAAGAAGAATAGTGAAGGAGAGAAAAGATGTTCACGGGAGAGAGGGGAATCATGGCTTCTTATAGGCGATATGATCGTCGGCAACGTGCAGGAAAGAGGAGGTGAATGATGCCTCTGTCGTATCACAAACATGACTATCAAGGTGTCTTGACCGCTGCTATAGTCAAACTCAGTAACAAGTTGAATCAAATAGAAGAACATAGATTGATGTTGCTATGCAAGATGAGCTTGCTGTAAAAAAGTGATATTTTATGATGACATAAGAACAAAATGCACGTTCGATCCGGATGGTGTTCCATCACAGGTATCCCAACGGGTCAGTCAGTTCCACCCCGAAACTCACGTCGTATACATGGTAGTAGCACAGAGGCATGTCGATACGGTGAACGTTGTCAAGTACTCACTACAAAACGCATACACGAGGCGTTAAGAGTTATTGGTAGCAATACGCATCAAAAAAGAAGAATGAAAAGAAAATCACCCGCGCGACAGCACCTTGTTGAATCAATATTCAGAGTCGCAACGTCAAAACAAAAGTCGCCCGTCGTGGCCAAAGCTTCGGAAGTGGCTTTCGAGACTCAGCCAAGGCTAAACCGCAACAGGCGCCACAGGGACGCTACCGCCAGGGCCCGCCGCGGGAACATGTAGGTCCATGTCACTCCACCAGCGGATTCGCGTGGAGGGGTTACATTGCGAGATGTGACGCCAATCCCGCGGTGTTGGAGATGCCCTGGAAACGGAAGAAGAGAAAAGGGGGAAAGTGAGAGGACGGTGATGACAGTCGAATGACTGCAATAACAAGAATAATAATCGGCGGCTAAAACAGGGATCTTGACGTCTTACTCTCATTATCTGGTGCCGGTGCCTTGCATTTTCCTTTTTCTTGGGGTCCGGTCTAAACGGATACGTGGGAGGATCCAACAAGGCTGACTGGGCCATCAAGTTCTTACAGCGCCAGACGATTACAGACAGGGTCATGCACCCGGATGTGCTTTTGCCGCGACAATCGCAGCGCTTAGCTTTGCCAATCTGCTCTGGGATCAGAGCACTAGTATCTGATTTTCGGCGGTGGGGGTTGGAAAATCAGGTTCTCTGTCTTGCCACACACAACTCAGCGCGTCTATTGCGTCTCTGGCTCCCATTATGGAGCTTGTTGAGAAAATGCGCCTTGGAACCCCCTGTCGCTGCGGTAAGAACTGGCGGCGGTGCAAGGGACCAGGTCTCAGGGCGGTGGACGGTGACGCGGGTCTAGGGCTAGCAAATGACGGCTGGAGCTGATATTGTCTCTATTACAGGCTATAGATGGAGATTACCTGTACTGTACTGCTACAGTACGGGCCCTTGCCATGTCCATGACCTCGTTCGAGATGCGAATAAGCCGGATATACGCGAGGCACGGCCGCGAACTAACTGCATCACTATCTGCTTTTGGCAGTGGATAGCACTCTTGTCCACAAGTGCGTGGGCAATAGAGTGTTGGTAAGTCAGGTAAGATTAAAAATGAATCTTGGCGCAAGCTAAAAGGCAGCACGAGAAAGAAGGAAGTTAGTTCTAACGTGCGAATGCATTGCTATCAGATCCCTTCTGGCTATTTCCAGGGCTTGGTACCTGTAGGGACAAGCATTATTTGAAATCTTACACTCAGTGACGTGACGCAGCCACAGCAGACGAACGCGTGCTCTGCCCTATGCCACAGGCTGAATACGGCGATAATCGCGGGGTACTTGGCCGGTCTCGAGTGTCAATCTCGTATAGAGCCTCATCTGTAGTATTGAATGTAATGGATGGATCAACCTCTCGCTGCATCATCCATATCAGCTGTCATCGTACATGAGTAGTAGTCGGGGTACATGGCATTTGATGGCTTTTTGCATCTACACTACATAGCCCGCACACCCAAATCGCAGCCCTCTCGCCATTGTCGTCCTGGAATCATCACGTCGCACAGCCGGTTCGCTTCTCCTGGCAAGGTGAGGAGCTGACAGATACCCAGTTGCGACCTCACTGTGTTTGCACGGTATAAAGGCCATCGGCTGACCCGCATGCGGACGCATCCACCGACGGCTTCATTTCTGCTGCTCTGCTTTTGCTCTACTTTTGCCTCTACTTTTGCTCGCAGCAGGTCCTTGTGGGGTGCTGTTCTTGGACATAATCCGCACCGTCAGCTCAGGCAAGCTTCGTAAGAGGCGCAGGCATCCGGGTCCGGCGCAAAACCCCCCGCTGGTCTGCTTGTATGAGCACAATCTCACCAACCTGCCTCAACCGTCGGCCGGGGGGCTCTAACACGGGCAATCAAGCTAATCAATTCCATCGCACCGAGCTCCAGGCCCTACAGTATTACCAAGACGGGTTCTCTGCTTCTTCAACGCTGACAAGGCCAAGTCGACACAGCAGTGTTGCTTGCAATACCGCTCACAGGCAAAAGACGGCACGACGCAACACACACCTCAGTGCAGGTGTCTACGTATAGCTCGAGATCCGGATTTCAATCACAGCACAGGCGGTCAATATTACGTCCATCGCAAACACTTTCAGCGACGAGCTCTCAACCACAGCCGCCCTGCCCGCTATAACAGGCGCAGAGCCGCTGCAGCTGCTCCACTGAAGCTAATGCAACTGGGCTCCCCCGGGCCACCGATTTCAGCTGTCGACGAGGGTCGCCATTGCTCGGAACGCCTTACCTAAACCACAACCACACCCACTCGCTCACTGCTCTCCAGCTCCAGCCCAGGCTGCGTCCAAACCTCCCGCTGTCAGCCAGCTCGTCGCACCTCTTTGCGCAACCATCGACACACTCCAGCGCCGGCGCGCCGAGCCTGACGCCGTCCTTGTCCTCGATTGCTGCGCCCTTGCTGAGAACCGCCCGGTCGAGGCGATCCGATCCCGCTGGCTCGAGCCCTGTGAACCAGAAAACCCACCCGGCCGCAGCCTGCCAACCCCACCTTCGCATCGACCCGCCGAGCGCCTGTTGTTGTGTGTGTGTGCGTGTGCGTGTGTGTCTTGTGTCTTGTGCGGAAATAGGGTATCGTGACGGCGACTCACCGAGCAGCTTATGCCTGCTGGTCATCTGCTGGCGACCCGGCCTTGGGGGAACCAAAGATAGCGAATCCCACCTCTCCGAGAGCGCTGCCGAGACCTTCTTTCTCCTGACCGCAGCTGAGCCTCCAGCGCTGCCGCTGCCGCTGACGCCTCCGCCCACCTTGAGCGCATTCGTAATCCCCGAGACAGCAGCAGCAACGACGACAACACCATCCACGGCGGCGACAACTCAACACTTCTACTGCTGCGACTGCGACTGCGACGATAGCATGGCTTCGACGCCAGCTAGCGTTCGGGTCTCCGGCCCTCCAAACAGGAGCTTCCTGGTGGGATATCCGGGCATCTCTGCGACGCTGGTACGTTGACGACCGCCTTAACCCCCCTACCAACCCCCTCCTCTCTTGCCTGGAAATGCGGTGTCCAGCAGAAGAGGAGGCGCACATGAAATATCTGGGAGAGCATCGGGAGCTTGTTGCTAACATGGACTCTGCAAACACATAGCCGCGAATCGAGGGCAAAGTCGAGATTCGGCCGGGCCAAGGCTACTCTATGCCTGTGCCGGTATCCCTGGTGCGAATAAGCCTCCAAAGGCGCGAGACGATACACCCCGACGCCGATAGTCTAACGAAACGACACCTGGGCGCACCCCGAAAAGAGACTACCGATCTGGTCGGTAAGGAGGTGCTGCTATTCAGATGCTCATCGGGCAAGGGTGCCGAGGACGTTTACTCCATGGACCTGCCCTTCATCATCTTTATCCCCTTTGGCAGAGGCGGAGAGGAGACAAATCGAAGAATACCGCCAGCATCCCTACAGCTGCCCAGCAGGATCGCCGAGACGTACTACGAACTAGTGGTGACGGTGCAGCAAGGTCACAAAGATCAATACAGATACAGCTTCCCACTACCCATACTACGGTACGACACACTGTCAACGTTTGGCATGTACAATAAACCCGAAACAAAGCAAATCACCAGCGACAATCTCGTCCACCTCGCAATCAACCTGCCCCGCTGGAGCTACGGCCCCAATGATCCCATAACCGTATACATCAAGATCGCTCCCAACTCTGACTGGTGGAACAAGGCCAAGAAGGTGACCATAGACAAGATCACGCTCGGCATAGAAGAGGAGATTACTTTCAATCCGGAAGGAGACGAGCCGACCAAGAAGGTCAACAAGCTGGCGAAACAGGTCCAGGTGGTCAAGACAAAATTACCGGAAGCGGGATACGCAACCAACATCGGCCTAGTGTTCCCCGCGAAAGATCTTAGAGATAGCGAGGGCATTATCAAGAGGGGTAGACCGGCGTTTCCCCAGTATGAGGTTGCCTCATTTACCACATCATCAACGCTATATAAGATTGAGTTTTACCTCAGCATCAAGGTATGGCTGATTTCCATTCACTCCCTCCCCCCCAAGCCAAGATGGAGTTGGGCTTTTAACTTACACGGACACGCGTACAGGTGCAAGTAAGTGGTGCTAGAGATCTCCACCTACGACAACCAATCGTCATCTGCCCCCTCGATCAACAAGGCTGCAAGGAAGAAATGGACGCCATCGAAATCGCGGCTAGAGAAGCCTCACATGTCGACCCAAATAATCCCATGGTCCCAGCTCGTACCATCGTCCTGGCTAACGATCGAGATGCGTTGCGAGCCTTGGGCTTGTGTATGGTTGGAAAGGTGAAGAAGCCATTTATTGAGTGACGAACTGGATTCTACGCATGAATCAAATCCCGCCTGCTCATCATACTCAACGGCCACGATAAACGAAACCGACAGTGAACGCCAGGCGCTATGCTCGCTACAAAGCGGAAGACTCTTTGCTACATCTGCGCCGCGAAGAGCAATGCATAGCGTATACCTTGCTGCATTCGCTCTTATGGAGCGCCTTTCTTATTATTAAAAAAGAAGCAGATAGGCGTTACACTCATTCATTCGGCTAGACTGCGAGATCCAGACGTTTTGACGCGAAACGATGTCCAGGCGATATTACTGGCCATGGAGGTTTTTACATAGAATTACCATTGGCTAGCAACACACGGCGGTACACCATATACCCATTTGAAAAAGGCGTTTCTGTTTTCTATTTTGGTTCACTGAGGATGGGAAGTGGAACTGTTTCGCGATTTGAGACAAAAATATAGTGCATGGCGTTTCAAGGCGATCTTGGACCGCTTCATAGTCTGAGAGGGAGAACAAGGAAAGGGGGCTTCATTCTGGGAGAAGCCTAAACATTGGCTGAGGGCCAATACGCACAACTCTTTGGCACGGGCAGTGTGCCAGATATTTACGCTGGAGTGGATCTGGAGAGATGGCCTCTTTGAAAACTGGAAGCATCCTTTTCATTTACTTTGTTATTCTGCTGCCTCACACTCTCCCTCTTCTTTATGTATTCAACGATGACGAAGTTGACGAGATATTGGAATTTTTAATACATGTACTGTAGTATATATTACTTACTCTTGAGCGCTTGGAGGAGAATTTGGCTTAGATGCACTGTACATTTGTTTTACCAAGGTAGCTAGCGGAGGGGCATGAGGATAATGCATCCAACGATACACATTAACACTGATAAAAAAAATTGAAAATATTCTAGAGTAGATACCAGCTCCGTGATGTTAGATACATTAAAGCCAGAAGTAAAAAACAGCTCAGACATGCAAGTTAATATTGTATGCATACATGATGCTATCAAGGTGGAATATATATAGAGAGCAAAAAAAAAACGATGCGAGCCGTAGGGATCGAACCTACGCGTGCGATGCACATTGCGGATCAAGTATTACAGTCGTCGGAACCCGAGACCACCTAAACACAACGCCTTAACCACTCGGCCAGACTCGCCATCACGTGTCAACGTTGACGTATAGCGTATAGTTTAACCTTATCAAGGCCACGATACCGCACAAGAAATTCCTCCATGTCCACCCCACCTTTAGTGAGATTTGGTATCGCAACAAAGCGCAACATCGTCATCCTAGCTGAATTTTTCTTTCCTTCCCTATGTTGACGTTTTCTTCCTCTTTTTTTACTACGATGATATAATTATTTTCTTCGTTCTTTTTCTTTCGTGGCAAGTCTTGCATATATAAAGCGCCCTGGTTTCTTACTAAAAGCGTCTTTCTCCTGCGCCCGATCATAAAAGACTTCTGAAGTTGGGCAGATTTTATTTGAGCTCACGTGGGGCGCTTTCTGCGACACAGCTGCCCGGCGCTGCGCCTTGTCTTTTTTTTCTTTCATTTTCTTTCTTTTCTTGGGGCGGGTGGACACAGCAGATTCTATACGACATGGCTTTCGACGACGACGATAGCCCGCTGGTGGCAGGGCCGGTGCCGGCGGATGGCGAAGGGAATGCCCCGACGGCGGAAGAGACTCTCGAGGACGACATGCCCGACTACAAGCTGTTTGCATCTGCGTTTTCAAAAAAGGGCGTCTCGAGCCAGACGATAAGAAAGGGCGAAAAGGACTTTGAGGCGCACGGAACACGATCTCAGGACGGCGCGCTGGAATCAAGTCGCAGAGCGCTGGAGGATGTCTTGAGCTACACGAGGATACATCGGAATGATGCGTGGGCTAGAGGATGGTGTTTCCCGGATTTCTGGCTGGATGAGGAGAATGAGGCGACAGATTACGAGGGGATGTGGCTGAAGGACCGAGTGGTGGTTATGGAACATGAAAAGGGAGGCTGGATGAAGGATATAGGACGAGTGGCTTCTGGAAATAAAGACCAGCTCGGCGTAGGGAGATTATGGCTACTCCCAGAGGAAGCCATCTATCTGGTCGAAAGAGGCACTGTGGACCTGTGGTGGCCATATACGGACTTTGAAACCCTTCTACCCAAAGGTAGTACTGCTGGAGGAGCACCCCGTCCTGGGTTTGGCCCTGATGATTATGATGTTGGGTTGCCGCTGAGTCTTGAAGCCGCTTATTCGCTCTTCATCGGCTACGAGGGCGAGCAGGGCAAGACAACGCTTCCCAAATATCAAGTTTATGCGCATTTAAAGCGTGCAGGGTTCAACATCCTTCGTGCGCCGCTCGAGCAGCCGAGGCCAGAATCCACAGAACATTCGCAGACACTTTGGCAATGGCTCTTCTCCTTTGTCAAGTGGGAGTCGGGGGAGGAGAGGATACAGCGGCACCACCAGCCTTTCGGTCCGCTCGTCGCTCCAGGACTTTACCGGGCTTATCGGCCTATATACCAACAACTAGCTCTTCTCCCTCGACATAAACCTCTCCCTGTACCACCAGAACCATCTAAACCAGAGGATCCCTTCAGGGTGCACTTCCACGTATGGAAGCCTGGCGCGGGAGGATTCTCCAAGAAGAATCCTCCACCCCCCGACTTTCGCATCGCGGTGGCCGACACGGCCGACTCATGCCTGCCCACGCTGGAACAAATCGAATCGCTACTCGAGTCTACGCCGTACGATCCTGCGCCGGAAGCCTGGCGGGGACAGCCAGGGAAACTGTACCAGCGACTGAAACACGGCCACCGAAATGTAATCGTCGCGGTTGTGGACAGAGGATTAGTAAACTTTATGAGGTTTGGAGAGGGCGCGTTTGGCGAAGAGAAGCTATTTGAACGCTTTGACAACAGAGGCGCTGGCGGGAGGGGAGGAAAGAAGGGCGGTCGCGGAGGGGCCCGCGGAAGAGGCAGAGGCAGAGGGCGCGGAAGAGGAGGACGATGATTAAACAAATAACTAATAGTTGAGTTTGATTTGTCGAAAGGGGGTGTTAGTCTATGGAAGGATTTTCCATTAACTCGGAGTTTTACGAGTGTGTTTAGGTTTCTTCTCAACTCAAATCTAATGCTGAGAGGAAAAGGGGGGAACTAAGGCAAACTGTCTAGATAGGGTATATCATTTTACGCTTTTACGTGCATACAAGATAGATGACTGGTTGTTGTTTGAGTCAACTCAACTCCTTTCGAGCTCGTGCTTTGGGAGTGGGTCAAATCAAATCAGAGTCGTCGGGTAAATTACCATTTTGTGCTACAAAGACCGACGGGATTATTTTTCCTCCTTGACAGCAACCCCCTTGGTTTCTTCCAAGTTAAGTTGCAAGTTATTTCATGACGGCATAAACTTTTTCTGGTTTTGTTTCAGTATTCGGCGAAAACGATGCTGGCTGTTTGACCGTTACTCGTTGGAAACGCAACGCTTTGCAATTCTTACGAGAGCATGACAGTGTATGGCGTATTTTTTTTTCCGAGCTGTTTGTTTGAAAGTGGAGAGAAGTTGATGGTTGGCCATTGAGGACGATCCATGAATTAAGTTTCCTGTGATTATTGAGACAAGAGAAGAAATAAAAGAGGAAAAGGAAACAATCAAGCGGGGCTCGTTTACTCAACTCCCGCTGAGTAAGTGGAAGCTTCTGAGATCTTCAATAGGCGAAGCACATGGGTCGAGTTGCATGTTTTACCGTGCAAAAATAAAGATAAAAATCCTACTACTACTACAAGTTAATAGTTGGTTTGTTTGGATATTGCGCTTTTTAGGGAAGTTTTCAGCGAGTCATGATGTATTTCCCAAACTTCTGGGCGTCTCGCCTTGCTAAGCTGCCCGCATACGGCAATTCATGTCAATAGGCGTAATGCTTATTGCGGCTACTAAGTCCGAACGGTTTTTTCTATTTTCTGCTCTAAAATATCGGAGATTGGGGAAAAAAACTGGATCCAAAAGCACTTTCCAAAACGGGGTAATCTTTCATGGCGCGGCTTTCGCTGGGCGTCAGGAAGGAAAAACCACGCAGCAAGTTTGCCTTCTGTCTCTTTGTTTTTCCATCCAGCGAGGACGACAACTCGTACATGGGTAGCTTCTTCTTAGGCCCTACTTTACATACACTTGTATGCAAGGTACCTATATATGGGCGTTCGATAGTAGTAGTTGCCCTTGTTTTCTGACGTGATATTTCGCCCGCTTTCTATCACCGGTGGGCTACAAAGCACGGGAATAGTCCGATAATGTATGAAGCGGGTGCATCATGACTTGTTTCTCGCGATTTAAAAAGTTGACACTATTTCTTCCGTGTAATACTTTGGGTTACTCGGTCTCGCTTCTCTCACACGACGCATGACGCATGACTAGAAAGCGCTCGACGATCGTTGTTTAGACCCCTGCAACTATCCAGAATTGGAAACAGGTCCCTACTTTTTGCACATGATTATGCTCGGAATCTTGGACAAAGCAAAATGAAAAAAAAAAAAAAGCAGTAAATAAGACTAACAATACGTAGATAAATGCTCCGTCTACCGTACCAATAACTTGCTATAGTATCCAGATAGCGCCGAGTAGTTAGTATTCTTATAGATACAAAGCAACGAAGCCAATAATCACAAACAGTGGAAGATTAATCCCACCCCCTCCCTGTGAAAGTGCGTATGTACCTAGCTAGTTAGACTCGAGAAGAGAAAAGGGAAAAAGGGGGGGGGGGGTGAGAGGAACGAAACACGGAGAGAGAAGTGGGCTGAGAATGGATGATCCACCCTTTCGTCAGATTGGCAGCACTGCACGCACTGAATGGAAAAAAACTACTACTAGACAGACTCGATTATGTACTATAAGCGCAGCGCTTTCTCTTTTGGGAATTTGCAAAAAGACAAAGCCACTCCGTTTTAAAATAGGGCGCTTGTTGCTTTGTTTGTGGTAGATTCCGCTTAAGCGATCCATGAGCTTTGGTGATTGGTCTGGAAAGCCACATAGAGGTGGGTTTTTTGTATCAGCTGGTTTGTTACGACAGACAAAGGAAGAAAGTGCATGGCTTAGTAATTTGTAACAAAACCTCTCTCAATCAAAGAGATGATAAAAACAACATGTACGAATGCTGGGACTTGTATTGTATACTATCCCGCATGTTATGCATAAAGCAACTGAGAAATAAGGTAGGAGGGGGGTGGGACATGCACATGCAAAATTGAAAGAGAGCGAGAGCCAGAGAAGCCGTGGCGGGTCTTGATCTTCCTCAAAAGTTACACGAGTACAAAGTTGTGCCTAATGTGGAATATGCCCGATTGCGAGCTTTTGGAAACGGATTTACCAAGTAACAGCGCGGAAATATCCTTTCTGTACAGTGCGTTGTCAGCTAGGTTGGGCTGAGTATTCCTTCGCGATCAGGCAAATCCATTCGGCTGCTTTGCCGTAAACAGGCAGTGGTTTTGTTCTGCATAAAGGATTAGAAGTGCAGGCTATCATATTTCCTCTTCCTTTGCTGCTCCCTGTTTAACCCAGCTTTTTAGACTTCAGGCTAGGTACCGAAGCTCACGAAGGAGAGAAAGGGTTGAAGAAAGTTTATATCGTCAATAGCTAATCCACAAGGGAAAAAAGTATCATCCCCTCCTTTTTTTTTGAGTGTGTTTCCGAGAGTATAAACGTAAAGAAGACAGAAACTAACGGTTCTTTGTGAAATGTGTGCTTTCCGCGGGATTTGGAATCCTACCAGCAAAAATAAACAGCATCCGGGCCGTCTTGTGTTTAAACCGCTCAAGTCAATCCTTAGATGCGACACACTCCTTTGTTTTGTTGCGTCTTGTTACTTATCATCTCGCTCCTTTCCGCGGATGAATGCATCCGGCGTGTACTCGCATAAACTGTATTTGTCCGAGTGGCTGGCTGCGGGAGGTCGTGTTTATTGATCAGCCATTCAGGCAACACCAGCTGGCCGGCTAACCACTTGGCTGCATGCGAGTTATGGCAGAAAAAAAGTTCCAACGCAACATGAGTTGTTTAACAATTGGTTGTGGCACACTTTTTTTTTTTTTTTTCTTTTTCTGTATACGTACATACATCCGCAAGATTGCGCTACATGATCAATACTTGCCAAGACTAGCAGCACAGTCACTTGGCCTACCTATCAAACTAGGCGCCACCTGCTATTATTATTATTACTAGGTACTACTTTAGATCCTTGCTGCGTTATTGGCTTGGGCCTCGCTTGGCTTGATAACTCTCAAGGTTGCTCTGATTGAAGTCTGTCTTCTCTCGCAAATAGTTGTCAGTTTGAGAAAAGCGGGGGAACGAGCTAGAAAGGGCAACGCCCGTCACACGTGCGATGGAATCAGCACGTACTGTATTAGTTGACTTAGTATTCTATGACTGTATTATTACTAAGTTTTGCAAATCGATGATTTACGGAGAGAGTCGGTATGATAGACTAGCTACTATACAGTGTAGTATACCGTTCACTTGCCGCAACAATGCCGCAACGCAAGCCGGGGCATACGGGCTGTAGAGTCCCAATGGAGAAAGCGAGATAACCGATGGAAATTCCCGACTCTGACCGGGATAGCTGCTGATTGGTCGGGAAAAGAAGAGCAAGGCAGAGTCGCAAGTCGAACAAGCAACCAAATGGAATCATTCGGTGCTGCCGGAGGCCAACACTTGCTCTTTACGCCCCCCTCCCTGGTTATAGTTGCAGTTTCTCGTTTGCTGATTCGTAAACTGGCGAATGAATCTTGAATGATCGACCCGAAACTAACTGTGGATCATCGGCTAGCTCGTTTCCAGTTCCTGCTCACCCGTTTGGGCCTATTTCGCGTTTGTTTATACGTCAAGAGTTGGAAAAGGAAATCATGTCATGATTGTGAATCAAGCTGCTTCTACTTACTACCCATTATAGCGGACAACAAATACGGACGAATACGGAAAACGCTTGTTGGTTCTAGGGTCTTTTGGAATTCCTATAGTCGCTGTGCTAGCAGCTACGATTAGCGCTGGGTTAGTAAAGACGTTTGGAATTGCTCATGTATTCGCGGTGCTAGTGTGCTTTGGGCATTTTATTTGCCCAGGTTAATTACTCTGTTTAAGCCTAGCCCCGTCAGCTCTTTAAAACACCCCCGTTCTTAGTTATTATCTTGGGCTAATTTATGCTATCTTCAAGGGAGGGGGGGGGGACTACTAATGGATGGCGATTTTCAACATCAATTACCACAACTGGTAAAATCAAAGAAGCGTTTATAAGAAAGAGGAAAAAATGTTCTCATCATCACACCATTTGCGTCTCGGCGCAAAGCAACAGGACGATGCTTTTTAATCAAGACTTGAGTAAGAAGCAACGCCCTGCAAGAATCATAAAGAGCTGAGTCAGGACATGCACTGCGACTTGCGGATCGCCCACTTTCATATGAAGAATGGAAAATAGATGCTGACTGATACCTTACAAGTAATGAAAAATCCCAACTACCGTACCTACCATGACTCTATCCCAGCAAAGCAGCTCGTAATTAGCCCACTGTCAGCTATACTAAGGCCAACCGGCCATCCAATAGCTTCTTGAACTCTTCCTGATTCCTATTTGACCGAGTAACCAATATTTGTACTGGGGCTTTAGTAACAAACCGGTGTCTACGATGCTATACTATTGCCTACTTGTACTCGTACTGGTGAAATCAGGAGACATGCTATGTACACATGAGGAAACCTTAGCGAGACATCGTATTCGATGACATACCTCTCTGGATATGGCAAACGCCCCATGGAGCAATCGATTACAGGAATACCCGGGAGGCGGTATGGAAACCCCCGTCCTGTTAAAGAAGGTTGAGTAAGTGTAGTATTTCACAGCCGGGAACCATCTACCTGGTGTCCCAGTTTCCTGTTCAGCAACGACCAGAAAAAAAAAAGATCCCTGCTGCCAATCCCAAGGTGGCCGGTGAACAGAGCAAAGCCGAGTTTGGCGACAAAGTCGAGCTCAA